GCGTCTACGTAACTGCTACGCGTCGTCTACGCACATGCTACGCGGTTGCTACGCAGCAATACAAAGCAATAAGACAGTGCATAGGAATTTACATAAAAAAATGTACAGAGAATACTTTGTGTCTATGGAAACATTGTTGGAGACCGCGCTTAGCTAATAAACATTGACCAGATTGACGACATGTTAAAAAGAACCAAAATAAAAGTGTCCACAAGCGGCGAACGTGCATGAGAGGATTGATGAATATGGAAGACCTAGCAATTAGGTTCGTCAGGATCAGTGTGTTTGGGATTCCACCGTATAATCCCACTATACGTAGACAGACGCTGCCCTATATGCTTGTGTATTATTGTATATTACATACAAATAATACACAATGTGTTTGAACGTTAACAATGTACAATTTCAGTACATAGATGAGCAACAGTGCAACTTTGCTTACGCTGCGAATACGGCGTAAATGGTTATGCATTAGTAACTACATAACTACTTAGTACTTAGCAACTAATGTTGGCAGAGTGAATTTTGACGTTAAACTTAATCCGTTAACTAATAGCACTTCTCACAATGTAGTTAACAGGTAGTGCTCTCAGTTGAGAACGGATTCCCGGTACAATGTGAACGGCGACCGATTGTTTACAACTTATTGACAAACCAATCGGCTTTTACTAAAACCCGCCACGTGGTCGGGAATCAAAGAGACGTTTTGTAAAAAACATTGTAAAACAATGAAATAGTTTTCCGGTGAAACTGACTGAGACATTCATAAAAAACAACAAAGCTACTTTTGTTACATATTTTTTTCTAGTTCGTTATTTTAAATATTATTGCAGTAAATGAACACCGCATTCTACGACTTTAGGGTTTATTTATTTAATTAATTATCAGTGCGCATTCTATTTGTGTGCGCCATGTGTATGTACTTTAGCTGGTGATGCGCATTTTCTATATTTTAATATATTGCTACAATTATTTCACTCTTTATAATATTTGGATTAATAGGTGTAGGTATTGTTTGGGTTTATAAATTTGTATTTTGTTATTTTTTATATCTTCCTATGGTATTTGCAACTTACCATCCGTGTCGTTGTAAGACATATAGCCGCTACGGATAAAATTAATTAATGTACTTAAAGATTCAGTGTTGTAAATCAAATGAAATCTATGCTAGAAACCAACCAAACATGAATCTAGATTATCATTTTAATTAACTACGACGATAGAACTAAATAATTTTGTTTCTATAGATAATGTTGTTTCATTACACTGCCGTATAATTACATTATGTAAATTAAAAAGTATTTCTATAACATTTCTTATTATATGTTAGGTTTAAAGTCAGTCAGTCAGTTTAATCAAAATATTATTTTCTACATCTTAAAAAAGCACGATAAAATACATTAAAACGTAGTTTTTAATTAATATACCAACTTATGCTGTAAAGGTAGATATTAAACTTGAAATCCAAATAACTAAACACGTTAATAGATTTAGAAACATCAAAACTAATTAGCAACGTCTAAAAAGTTTAACTATAGAGTTTCTATTCCTGAATTCTCGTTAAGTTGGCTATAAATTCTTCATCGTTATTCAGAGGCACTAAAGCGTAGGTAGTTAGGTACATCGTGCGAATACGGGCCTCATTAGACTTCGAAACTAATCGGACCCAATCGATTTTGTACAGAATCTATCTCTCGATTATTCAATGATATTGAACGTTTTGATCTTGAAATAATCAAGTGACCTGTGAATCATATCTAAGGGGACAGGACACATTTTATTGACATCAGCGAAAATGACTTTGAGATAGTAGTTTATTCGTAAAAAAGATGATAGAATATTTATTTCATTATCAGCCACCTCATTATAATTTCCAATACATACATATCTCGAAACAGCATTAGGTACTTACATACATAATGGAAAGTACCCATCTATAATCAAAAATAAATTTCATTAATTGATTTTATGACCAACTTAATTTTAGTAGGTGCTTATCAAGCGTTTTAAGAAATAATGTTTGACGCTAAAAAAACCATGTCGTCACAATTCACAATCTTGTAAGTACCTACAAAATTCATAGAAAACTGTCGTTTATGACAGTTCAAAAAAAGTATTGAATTTGACTAGTTGGCAAGTACCGTATTGTAATGACGTTACAATGATATTGTTTCCAGATGGCGTTGGTTGAGGAACAAGGCGCGGGCGGCGCCGCTGACGACCCCGAGGCCTTGCTCAACGAATGGCTGGGCGAGCTCACCGTGCTCACTGCGGTAAATATTACTTTATTAGTAACATAATATTATTATAATGCAACTGTAACGTTAATTTTGGGCAACAATTTAATGGCGTCACCAAACTCTGTTCTTCAACCGTTTACGGGAAATAAGTGTTTAGCAATATGTATTAAGTAAACAGTATCCACATCACTCCAAGCAGGTGATAAAATTTCACTAAAACTACTCACTCTTTGAAAAGCACCACGTTGCCTAACTCATCGAATCGCGCGCCATAAATAGAAGCATCTGGCCTAAACTCAGAATCGTATTTTTGTCGAAAGATAAGTATGGCTACCTTCATTAATTAAATAAATAAAAACGGAGAGGCCGCTTGAGTTAAAAGGGATGATTGATGCTGGATCACAAGAGCACGTGTGGTTTGCAGCCGGCGCCGCCGCCGACGCGGGGCAGGTGCGCGCGCATATGCGCTTTTACCATGATTTTGCGTCGCCTCGGCAAGCTTGTTGCGGCTTGAGTTGTATTAACATCTTGGCTACGAACACGCGATAACTTGATTTTCAACAAACCTTTAACTGTTTCTTTATTAACCTTTTCGTGACATGATTACTGTTTCTTTTTTGCATCATATTTGACAAAGCGCGCAAGCTGTCACCGAGTTAAATAATAATATCGCAAGTTGTCCCGACACCGATTGTGTACAGTGAGTGCAGCTCTAGCTCAATAGATGTTACGCGACAGATGTGCTGCCTTAGAATGCTTCGTTTGGGGTGTCCAACTGTGAAGCTTATTTAGTGCACGTAATTACATTTTAACTCTAATTTAATGGTGCGCGTTTTGTAAATATCTTTTGATGCATAGTGTACGGTTACTGTTTTGTTAGTAGTAATTATGTTACGTTTCCCCATGTATATTTGTCATTTTATTGACTTCACGCTTTAAACATGGCGTTAATTAATAGATTTTGAAGGCATTTTTAATTAACAAAAGCGTCTACTTAATCTTGAAATTGGTATCTACTTAATAATAAAGGTATTTATAGAATAATAAACAGCTGACAATGTTTAGTCTGTCCTTGTTATTGAAGTCAAAATTGCGCGCATATTGGTTTAAATAATAATAATTAGTAAGTATAGTTAAGATGATTATCGGCGATAATAATTCAGAAATCGATAAAATTGGATCCTGCACATCTGTCGTGGTACGGCCGTCGCACGAGCAGGTGTTTCCAACGCAACACCTGTTTCCCATTTTTTGTGCATCTTTTTCATACAACTTCTGGTATAGTCCCGTACAATTCACAAAACAGATTACAACTTCTCCGCCTCAAGATATTATTTTGAAATTTGCTTCAAGCAATTATTATTGGTATTGACATTTTAATTGTGTGTATACTAAATGCATAGTGATTTACTGAAGTTACCGATCTGTGTGGGTAATATACACAATACCAAGACTTCACAAAATACAAGTAGGTATGTAAGTACTTATTTAATTTTACGAGTCTAGCAATTTCCTTGACGCCCGTGTCACACCTACAAAGCGTGTATTTTTAACATAGTCACCTTCCTACATTTTAATTCAGAAAGTAAGGGGTGGGGTCAGTACTAAAACAAAAGTGGGACAAATAAAACTAGGTCATTCAGTCGATTTCTTCTTACATCGCCACGTGATCATGTCAACAGTATACAAATTACATATTATTCAACCTAAGTAGTATTAGCTTATTTATTTCTAGCACTATTGTTATTTATTTATTAAAAATATTTTTACACTCTAGTTATTTTTTAATTTTGTTATATTCCTCTTATTTATAATATAAATCAATATCACAAAATAATATTCTGTATCTATAGTCCAAGAGGGTCGATATCTATTAGTTCACGGTACAACAAAATAGTTATGGTATTTTAAGAGGAAATAATTAAAAAAGTAATGGGGAGTAGCGTGAGTGGTTGAAAGACATCACGTTGCGTAGGGCGCGAGGCGCGGGGCGTGGGTGCGTGCGTGTGGCGCGCCGCCACCGCCAGTACGCGGCTTCGGGGCTCGGGGCTCGAGTCGAGGGGACTCACGCACACCACTGCGCGGGCCTCGTCCACTCATTCTGGAATCAAACAACGTAGCGTAGCGGGCCGCGCACACGTGCGCAAGTCACAAAACACGGTTGCCGCTTGTCTACTTGCCTCCCCCCTGCGCTGCTGCCTGCCTCTGCGAGCGGCCGACTCAGCGAGCGCTCATGCTTCATTTTGTAATACTACTCACTTCACTGTGCTCTGCACTGCCTAGTTGTGGTTTGTCCTCGCGAATGTCGTACGCGTTTTGTGAGTTCCTCGCCAGTGCTCTTTGTTCTGTGTTTTTACCAAACTCGTATATAATACTGGGCGCGAAAACTTTGTTTTCGGTAAAGTGAACGTGTGTGGTCTTGTAGGAACAATATAATAATATCTAACGAAAGTGTGGTGCGGTAAACTTGTGGTGCAGTTCCGCGCAGGCTCCGTGTTCTATGCCCGTTGTAATAACAAACTCGTTTCCATGCATACTTATCAATTATAAGTGCATACCTCGTGACATTTAACTTGACTTTTATGAAACTGTTGAGCAGTGTGTTATTTTAATTGAGAGCCGTCCCGAATCTGTGTATACTAACACGGTATAGTTAGGGAACATGTCTCTATCCCACGGCGTAGCGCCGGCTTTTGGCACGCTTTGCTAATAGTGTAAAGTGTTAGATTGTGAGTCACTGCACTTTGCGATGTAGACGCAATGATGGATGTGCAGCTAAACGAATCGAGTAAGTGGCAGCGCGGACGCTTTCTGTCAACTCTCAACAGAAGTTTTCGATTGGCAAGTGCCAAAGCAAGAAGTGTCAACAGTTCACCTACAGAGAGCAAGAGCTTTGAACAAAGTTTGGATATGACATCGAATGCAACGGTACGTTGGGGCTTGTGGACTGGTGACTAATGACCGACACTGTTGATAACCGAGACTTAAATGGTTTTAAATACTTATTTACCTACATTATAGATATTTCTGTGACATAAGTAAATCTTTTAATAAGTTCTTACTTCGCTGTTTCTAAATAAACTTGCGGTTTCTATATACCTATTGTGTGGAGTGGAGAGACTATTTACAAGTAGGTACACAGATGTCAATGCATAACAACTGTATAAATAAATACATAGAATATTATAATAAATTGATAGTAGTTGAATAATATTAGCTGGATTACTAATTGGTGTGGAAATGTTTAGGTCTACGTAAAACAAATATATTTCTCATCAATCATGTTTGTGACAAAATGCTTCACAACATGCGCCTACCATCCGCATATCTAACAACAATAGCTGCTTAGGTACATATTTGTTTGTGTATTCTCATATTTACTAAATAACAGAAGAAATATCTGGAAATATAATAAAGTGTTATTACAATAGCAGAGACAAACAAACTTACGAAGTTCATTGTTTAAAGACAATGCATTCCCAACTATGTTTTGGGATGTCAATAGGCATGTACGTAGATAATTAATTCCAGGACTTATATGGGGCCCATGATTAGTATTCATTGCGTGGTGTGACCACATTAAGGCATGGGATTAGTTATAAGGGGCCTGTATCACCCAAATGCTTGATATAAAAATATTTCTGTTTGCAGGGTTTGAATCCGTCCAGTGATGGTTCATGTGCTTTGAGGCCTTTGGAGATCGTGGCTCCTCGGATAGACACGTACAGATTCTCCATGGCTAACCTGGAAGAGACACAAGATGCCGACCTGGACGCGATACTGGGGGAGCTTTGTGCACTCGACTCAGAATACGATGAAGAAATATCGAGGGTGTCATCAGGTAACTTTTTCGAAAACAATTTTTTCCTCCTTATCCGTTTGAATTCATTTATTTCTAAAAGATTACAAATCACTTGTACAGAAATAAATACTTAAACTAATTTTACATTTTTTGATTTGTCCAGGAGTAACAAGAGGTTGTAATAGCGGTCACAATTTTAGGGTTTTAACATTAACATAACAATTTGTAACGACAAAGTAAGCAAATAAGTATATATGGAGGTATTCGTTAAAATATTTAATGACAAATATTGATGCGGCCCTCCGTGCGGTATCCTCATAATATTATTAACCTCCGTCCTCCTATATTGTCGCTAAACTTTAAATCTCCTATTTAGATAACTATAAGAGGTGCATAATAATATTATTTGTCAAAAGATTTGAGATTTCTATTAAAATTCCATTTTATGTGCCTAACAGCAGAGTCACTATAAACTAATGATAAAAAGTACAGTCGAAGTTACGAAGTTAACATGAAAATATGTAAAAAGTTAATCTTTAGTTATTGGTTAAAGAGACATTCGAAATGTTCCGTCGATACGAAATATACAAAAATAACGTCAATTTTAACAGAAATTATTACATTCTTTTGGTGGTGTTGCAGCTTTATCTTCAACGTCGAAATCTAGAGCTGAGGGGGCTGGAGAGAGCTCTCAGAGACCAGATAAGGAGAGCGCTGATGGTGCATCCAGCATTGCACGTACCGACTCCCCCGATAATGACTCAGCCTTTAGCGACACTGTAAGTTTTAAAATCTACTTTATATACATGTAACAGACTTCCTTTTCAGTCATTTATTTGTTAAAAAGGTAAAATTAAGTTTTAGGGTCCATAAATGATTTAAATCGTACAATCTTTATATTTAGCGCTTAAAAAAAATTTAGGCTGGGACTATAATGCTAAAAATATCAATTTGTTAAAATTAAGTTTCTTTTTAAAAAAATTATATTTAAGTAAACTAAAATTGCAAACAATGACTTAAAAATAAAAACCAACACTCATAAATACATTGTGCCAAAATTTTCAATAGGTGCCTTAGACTTATTATATAGTTCACAAACATGGTTTGAAAAGTGTGTATGAATTGTTACAATGTTGGTGTTATCTTAGGTGTCCATGCTGTCCAGTGAGTCGTCGGCATCCAGTAACACAAGCACGAAATGTAAATCAATGAAACTGAATCTTCATCAGACGCCGAAGGTAAGTTTCCAATTATTATTTGTATTGATACGTTATTGATACACATGTTGACATTATCCAGATCCAGCTAATCAGTGTTACTCGTATTTTCAGGACGCAAGCTTTCAACTTAAGGCTGACAAAATAAAGTTAGCGCTGGAACGCATGCGTGAGGCGAACATCAAGAAATTGTTCATCAAAGCCTTCTCCATGGATGGATCTTCCAAGAGTCTACTCGTCGACGAAAAGATGACTTGCGGATATGTCACACGACTACTAGCAGACAAGAACCATGTCACTATGGAGCCGAAATGGGCTATAGTGGAACATTTGCCTGATCTGCATATGGGTAAGGCTACGATAACATTGAAACCTTTTTAATGAAATTATAAAGCAGTTTCATTAAATTACGATATCACTCATCTATTTCAGAACGAGTCTATGAAGACCACGAGATGCTAGTCGACAATTTAATGCTGTGGACAAGAGAATCGAAAAATAAGATTTTATTCGCTGAGCGACCAGACAAGATATCTCTATTCCAAACTCCAGAAAAGTTCCTCTTGACTGAGGACGACAGAGGTAAGAACAAGACGAAACTAAAATACTTTGTTAGCATAATTGTGACATTACTAACCATGTCTTATAAAAATTGCCAGGTTGGTCCAGTGAACACGACGAGCACTCAAGACAAGTTATCATTGAAGAGTTCTTCGGACAAAGTGGAGGGACTACGAGCACAGTGCCGTCCGTTTCAGGTCATCCAGTGCCTCCCATGGAAGGGCCACTGTATCTCAAGAATGATGCCAAAAAAGGATGGAAGAAAATATACTGCGTCTTGAGACCGTCTGGTAAGTAACAAATACATGACACGCTGCGCTGTGTGGCCACACTACTCATATCACATTTATTTTAAGCAAAGCGAACTAGCCAATGCGATTAATTTTCATTGCTTATTATTTCATTGGGGAACTGCATTTAATGTACGTTTTAATTTGTTACTATCTAGGACTGTACTACTCACCAAAGGATAAGGTGAAAACTCTGAAAGAGCTGGTGTGTCTCGCTACATTTGACACTAACGAAGTTTACATAGGGTTGAACTGGAAGAAGAAATACAAGTCGCCTACTGACCATTGCTTCGCGATCAAACACCCGAGGCTGCAGCAACCAAAGAGTGTTAAGTTTATTAAGTTTCTGTGTGCTGATGATCAACGCACTCTCGAGAGATGGGTGACTGCCATGCGCATTGCAAAGGTATGGACACAAATCGAAGAATTATACATTTACATATGGAATGAAACGCAAATGATTGTATTTATTAGAATATGGTACACAATATTCTTTAATTAAATTATTAATTAAATTACAATTATTTGTTACTCAGCGTAAGTTTTCCGATTATATCTTGAGGTTTACAATAAGTCATATTTTCATTTCGAAATATTTTGCAGCATGGAAGACAATTATTGGAGAACTATCGTTCATTGGTAGAAGAACTGACTCAAGAAGATCTCGACCACCTTGCTCATGCCCGCTCATGTTCAGTGAGTATTAACTCCATCACAATTGTCAATAATGATAAACAATGATATAATCTTATTCCTTCATTGTTTCCAAAATCACCGCACACCAAGCGATCGTTCCCATTTTCATTTAATTTAAATTATTTAACATTAAGAGATCCCAAGTTTTGTCTAGTGACCATTTCTAGAAATTGTATGTAGTCTCAATCTTAGTAGTTATTTTTAGATACGTATGATTGAGAATTTTAAAATTACTTAATATGAACGAACTCTTGTTAACAGATCACTTCTATACCAACAAAGACGAACGGTATGCCGGCGCTAGGTATCAACAGTCCGGCTCAGTCGACTTCCAGCAACGCGAGTGTCGCCAATTCCGACATCAGTAGCGGCAGGTTGGTATTCATTCCCACCTCATAAGTAAATAATACAAACTTGTAATGGTTCTAATAACTTATTTTCTGATCCTGTTACACAATATAAATTTCGAAACCATTAAAAGTTTCAAAAATTGTTTTTTTTTTCTCAGCGATTGTAATTATTGAAACTATTCCGTTTGTGCCAAAATGTATTTGCTTGCGTTTTTCGTTACAATTACGATTTACACCAAAGTATTCTGCGAATGAAATTCATTCATATTATTTGTTATTGTTTATGTAACTGAAGCTATGCTATCAATTGTATTTGTTTGACTATATAAATTATTGCAATAATTAACCTGTACAGACACTCCCGCGCATCGTCGTCCAGTTCGAGCGGATGTCTATCCGACGGCGGCACCGCTTCCGAAAGTGCTTTCGACTGCGAATTTCCTATGGGTAATTAACCATAATTGTTATTCACCATTACTTCATTAACTTTCTTCATGTCGAAACAGTTTCATTTTACATATTATTTGTAAAAATAAATAATGACCTAGACCATGGAGAACAATAATTACATATATAGCTATTGTCGTTCCAGGTACGATAAAACGCAAGCCCTCAATGAAGCCTAACATACCACTCACTTGGATGACGCGTCAATTGAAAGAGATGGTGGAAAAAGGTGGTGATTGCGGTGCAGAAGACGAGGGAGGTGGTGACTCGGGTACTTTGACCCGGCGACCTCGCTCCTCGCGCACTGATGACTCCACGCTAAAAAGACATCATACCATCGGTTAGTTGATAATGTAATACAAATTAATCATGTATAAGAGTCTAGTAACATACACGACAATTTTTATTATAGGTTACAAGATCAACTGAATACGATTGTTGTCGTTGTGTTATAATGAGAAGTAAGCATTACTTATTTTATTGTCTATTTCAGACTCTACAGAAACAATAGTATACAGCAGCACGACAAACAGTCGTCTGAGTAACACTGGCAGTCCAGTTCGCCACGAGCCTCCCTCTCCCACGTATGGTCACTACGAGAGCATTCCTCGCGACAATATCTACCGCAACAGCTCTGATAGCGGTTCTGCTTTATACGGATACACGGCTATTTACGACAAAGTGCAAAGACCACCCGCTGTTACAACCGTTGAGGATTTGCCTCCGCCTCCACCTCCAACTGATGATGTTCCCGATGGAATGTTCAGCTCAACACTAAGTCTGGACTCACTGCCGCCCCCGCCGCCTCCTCTTGAACCAATCGAGGATCTCACTGGCTCCCAACTCAGCTTGCCGCCTCCTCCACCAGAACACACTATGGAAGCACACACTGCTGCTGGCCGCGTCCACGACATCGTGAATCAGCTGACGGCGCAACAAGTCGAGCAAGCAGCCCGTGCCGGCCAATCCCGAGTCACTGCTCGCTCTTCTGAGCACAGCCGCACGTTCCCGCGCCAACCATCGCTCGACAGCGTACACTCGGAAGCATCCCGAACATCGTCCCTTCATTCCGACAAAAGTATCTATGGCCAACAAAACGTAGCGTATGGTGCCTGTCTAGCCGAACTACAGACGAAGAAAATAAGTAATGGCAGTCCTTCTATTCAAAAGAAGTTAACCACCGAGCCCTCTAAAGAACGCACCGGATCTATGAAAAAAGTAAATTTTGCTGATGACCTACCTACTTGTTCCGACACTAAAAAGACTAAGAAAATATCGTTCAATTTAAAAGAACAACCGCCGTTGTCACCTAGGAAACCACCACCACCAAAACGAAATGAAAGCACCAGATTATCCTCGCCAAAGAAATTAGCGGATTCTAACAGCAATCCACCAAAAGAGTTCCTTCGAGATTTGCAGAGAGTAATGAGAAAGAAATGGCAAGTAGCACAAAAGTGCAAACTGGAACCAGCTACTACGCCACACGAAGTTCTGGGTTTTAGAGAATATCCGTTATCTGAGGACTATAAGGAGACAAGTGTATCGATGTGGGTTCAAGAACATTACGGCGGCGGAGTTGAGGACCCATTCTATGAGAACGTGTTCGGTCGTGATCCTCCGCCGCGCCGAGAGGAACCGAAGCCCATTAAGAAACGGCCCCCGCCAGCCCCGCCGCGCCGCAGCGAGTCCACGCATCTGTCCACTCACCCGCACGCTCCCCCGGCGCAGCCCACCGTCTGAGCAGGCGCACTCTGTCCGTTGCTGACCTGGTCATTGCTAACACAAGACTAGCATGCTTCTTTTAAAATTTAGCTAATGGAAAACGCAATGTCCTGGAACAACATATTTATTGGTATTATATTAATTGTACACGTTGAATAATAGGCTAGCATTGAATCACTATAACGAATCTGTGTCCATGAATCGCTAAGCAGATACACGTAGTGAATAGAATCTAAACATTATATAACTTTAACCTTTTTTAATATAACTAAGCTCTCTGGAGTTAAGTAAATGTGACGTATTTAACTTGAAACTTGGTTATAAAATTTTATATTAATAATGGCTATATTGCATACTATGCAAAAAGTTTTATAGGACGTGTTTCTTTTTTGTAAGAATGACCAATTGTTATCATTTTGAACGCAGTTTAAAAAATGTAAGAATCAGAAAGGGGTGGTGCTATTTTGAAAGGTATACTAAGGTATGTAGGTTGGCTCTTTGCAAGTTCACAAACAACGAGAAATTAATTAAATTAAATATAAAATTGGAAATTAAAACAAATGTTATAAAATATATAAAAAATGTAATTAGGCATTAGAAAATATTTAACATAGCGGTCGTATTGTTTTATATATACGCGTTATGTACTCGTAGGCAATTGTTGTATGTGAACTTGCAAAATATTATTTATTGCATGAGTTGGAGTTTTGTCAATTTTATATTATGTTCCTAGTGAATTATTGTATATGTTTTTATTACGAAGTCGGGCAATCTGTTTACTTATAGGTAGAATTTTACTGCAACTGAATATAGTTCATTACATGGGATTATACATACATACATATATGTAGTCATTCAGCTAACTAGAAAAATATATTTAAATTGCTATTATCATACTCGAATAGCTTCACGTAATAAATAGGTTTATAGTTTGATGTCTTTCTGGGTAAGCAGTTTAAGAAGCTTCGGATGAAGTTTGCCACTCAGCATACTTCAGTGAGTGAGCACCTAGTAGTGCGTGTAGTCGTAAGAAATATACAGAAGTCGTAATATTCCTCGTGTGTGCCATAACTTATGATTTTGTTACTTTTACGATAATTATGTAAATGCGATTTGGTATATGTGCAAGTAGTCAGTGTTTTAGAGGTGTCACTTTGTAAGCAGTGTCACTTTTATATGTTAACATCAATGTACTTGAGATGATGGTGCAGCGACCGCTGGCCCGGTCGCTGGGCACTATGCACCCGACTACTGTCTACGCGTAGCTAGCACAGGGAGGGACAAAATGAAAAATATACAGAACTCCAATGTATCTGATCTCACTGTACCATCAGTAAGCGTTATTATTATGTTTGGGCTGTGATTATATCGTGACTGGATTATTTTCTGAATACAATTTAATTATGCAACGGCGGCAAATAATTTAGACATTTTATCGCATAGAGGTACCTACAGTTAAGTTAAAACATAGCTAATAATAGGCGGAACTTTACGATTAAAACACATTAATTATATTTCCACCGTAGTTAGTCTGCTAAACAGCTAATAAATATTGGGTAAATTGTTTACTTTAGCGCAACACTACAGCTCTAGAGATCCATTCTTGTGTAGCTATATAGCTATTGAATTAAGCTTTGAATACCTGACTAGATTTAATTATTTAACAATTTACGATTTTTTTTAATTATAGTTCGTGGATCTGTTGAGTGGAGACAGTGTTACAATATGATTGACGCCATATGAGGCCTTAACAATAAACATTATGTGACTAAACATTCTGCCTAGATACATACCTACGTATAAATTATTCATGGAGGTTGATATCCACGTAACTACTGCAAAAAATGTGTTGAAATGTAGATCTTTATTAAATGTGAAAAAACGTCATTCACGCAGGGAATCCTGAGTCCTCCTGAATGTATCTAAAACTCAGTGGATTTTGAATCTTACTAAGATATATGATGTTAAATACTACATTACATATTATACCCTGTCTTTGCTCGCAGTAGGTATAGATATTTCGATTTCATTGATATCAGCTGCCATACTATAAATGCTGTTTCATTTCAGTACTATGTTGCATTCCTTTGCTAAGTTCAAAATTATGTTGTAATGAGCACAAAATACGTGAAGAGAACCGGCTTACTACATGCAAGCGTTTCAAATATAAAGTGATTATTAGCATTACGACGTGAACATTATAATGAAATGAAAGTAACGTGAAGAAAAGGAGACCATGTCTTTAATTATTCTGGCTTTTATTTTATGTGTACTGTAATGGAATTCCATCCAAATTCACATTCGGATTAGAAAGACTGAAAATATGAAATAAAAATCCGATATCGACAATAAGATTACGTCCAAATCCGGAAATGTGTAAGGCAGGTCGAAGACAGTTGCTACTGCCATACAGAAATTAGTTTTGGTGTCCGTACAGTTCATTTTTTTAAACAAATGCTGATGTTTGCCATAATGCAGGGTTGCAAATTGTCATTCTCATACTTAAATTGATATGAAAACGCACTCGCTGTCATAGCATGCTTGTGGAGTTTGTAGCCAGTACCTATTGTTCCCGGATAGATGTATGGCAAGTCACCATGTTAATGATACAAGTTTCACTGAGACGAACCCCAGTAACACTACTGGTAATGGTCACCAGGATCATACAAACAGCCATTTGTATCTCTCACTTTTCATTGATGTTCTGTCTCGTCCAATGTTCTATCTTATCGATATTTTAAGCTTGAAAATTGTATTTACAAGTATTATAAGTGCAAGACTGCTGGTTAGTATAAATGGATAGTAGATTGTTTGAATATAAGCAAAATATCGATTAGATACAACAACTTGAAAATTATATTATTAACAACGTTTTCTTATTTAAGAAACGTCATCTTGTTATCAATGGCTCGTTTTTAACATCAGAATCAGAATATTTATTTGAATATTGTTTTCGGAATAGCTTACTTTAGTAAGACCTACTACGCAGTGATGGTATCCACCTACCTTTTATATGCAAACTTTGACAGAACCATGAGAATGGTTCACTGCGTCCGGTGCAGCAGGTTTCACTAAAGTTAGCGTGGTCGGGATGTTTGTTTGACCTATCGATGTGCCGTAAGTCTCAGTAACGGGACTTTAAAGTTTCGATAATAATCACTAACCGTTCTTTATTGTTGTATATAATATCAAATATTTTAAGTTCTAAATTATTAAAATGTTTGCAGCTAACTAATAGTTAGATACGGGTTGTATTCTCATAATTTCGACGCATACCTAATAATGTATTTGAAAATGTTTTAGTAATCACTTTTGTATAACGCATTTATTAGTATTCTTAATTAAATGTTTAAATTGTACAGAACAAATTAATTATAACATTAATTCTTTGTATATTTTTTCAAATATAATGAAATCCCAAGACATTCGTATTTTCTTTTTTATCATCAATTTTTAAATACCTAGACAATCCCTGGAACTATTCAATAAACGGAAAGGAGCACAGGACAGATCCTTTTTTAACGGTTCTTATAAGCTTGCTCTTGTTTGTTTGGGTCAAATTGGTTAGTATGACAGATCGATCTGAAATTTGCTACACACTCAATCATGATGTCCATACAGTATATCTATTTTTTTCTACAACTACCAGCATTATGGATATTAACCAATACCAAGGGATGGTAGATAAGAGCTCATTAAAACCATTAGTCTACTGTTAGTCCACAGATCCACAACGAACACTATAACTCCTATACTTTTGAACAATACCAAACGTTTCCGATCTAAAAAGTTTACAAATAACTATCACCGTAAGTGGGTTCGCGGTAAGTGTTTGATTTGACCCATATTTTCAGGGACATACAAGATATTTATAAAGGTTTAAATCACCTGCTACTTTCATCTCTGCACTGCTTAAAGGTTGACTGGGAGACAATGCCCAAGGCATTAAGTCCACCTGTACACACTTGTTGTATGAAGTTGAAATAAATAAAATAAATAAATAAAATATTTTACAATGTACTTAAACATTAATTTTTATAGATTGTTGGGTTGGTCTGTATATAGAGGTATACTGAAAGAGCACACACGGTGGATAAAAAATTATGTTTACAATTCCATAGAAATTAGGGCAAAAATAAAAGCCGGTATTTATTTAAGAACTTTATTTGTATTATAACTTTCGTGAGACATATTAAATATATTATTATTATTATCAGTTATAGTATCAGTAACCATATTATCAGAAGCAGCACAAGAGTCACCGCGTCGCGGGTCGCGAAATGCTACTCATGAATATGAGTCTCTAGCATTGCTTGAAACTAGTCGTGTTCCTCGTCAAATAATCTCCTCGTGAGTAAGCCGAAAACATAATAATATATTTAGGAACTACTTATAACTTAAGTATTATATAGTTGAGAATTACTGTTTTGTAACGTTTTAGTGCGCACCAGATAGCACTAATAATAATACTAAAATATAAACTAACTCTACCTCTTGTCTGCCGGTATATGAGTCACAATAGAAAATACATTATGTCTCGGGATTTTTATGGTATAAGCCGGTAAACATGGTTTAAAATTTGAACGTCCTCTCTATCGTCTTTGCATTATATCGCTTTACAAATTCTAGAGAGATATTGATTGAGTATTTGAGTATACTGAGCCTAGACTTAGATTTATAATTAAACAATAACATTATAAACCTTCTTTGTTCAGAAAAATATTTCTGAAGAATTATGACAAACCAGATGACATGACATTGTGTAAAAAGTAAATGTAGTTGTTTACGAGTGTTTACTTTCTATTTCTACATTTTATTATTTTCATTTTATAAAAACATTTTAAACTTTGATAGCATTTACTTAAAATATACCATTCCTATTATGTTTCATATATAATTGACAATAATACTTCAGTGATGGATACCTTATCAAACTCATCAAATCTTAATAAAATGAAATCACAAAGTTCAATAGATTCAAAGCATAAAATAAAGGAAACACATGGACATCATGCGAAGAAAGTACCAAGTAAAACCAAACATTGGAAGCCTAAACATTCTGTTGAAACTAAGTATCATCTGGGTGTAAGAAATATTAGGACGGACGACATAATTACTAAAGATGAGGGTAAGCCCAATATCCCAAGATACTTATAACTCGAAAGTAGAAAGAAAAAGATACGTAGTAGCCAGACATGCTGAACTATGATATCAACGTTTTCATAAATTTTGAATCAGATGCACATAGGTGTTTACATACATACCAACTGGTTGGAACCTTGTATACTTTATCTGTTTGCAGTGGATTGTAAATGTATAAAAATCATTGGTCACTTGGAAAGCGTGGAATGGCAGCAATATCCACGAGACTACCGTCCAAGTCCTGGCCAGCTTGCACTCGGCGACTGGACATTGAACAATTTTATCTGGATGAATTACGTGCAAAAAACTGACGGCTTAATAATCGATGATGATGTTCTCTTGTGAGTTTGTCCAATTTAAATGCTATATTAATCCATATATAATTTTAACAGCAAAAATATATAATTATTATTATATTTTATTTCACCTTTTTATATTGGAAATGGCTCGACGTTTGGCCACTATCTCGTCTGGTAGTAAGCGATGATGCGGCCTTCTATGGTAATAAGTAAATTACACCTGCTAATAAATTAATAACCCAGGGCTCGAAGACATGCAGATAATACCCTGTTGTTGCTGCTGCTCTAATTAAAAAAGTTGTCAATCATAGTCTTTACTGTGGTTTGTGGGCTACTAAAATTACAGCCATACGGAACCGCTAATCTATCTAAATCTAAATTATTCATTCAAAGTCTTACTCAACAAAAAGTTTGAAACAAGCTCTATCAGAGCGATATTATTGTTTCAGCTTGAAGACGTTTTAGAGGTTTTTAGCGTAATTTCTGGCTGGATTCACTTTAAAAATCTTAATTAACTAAACAATAGGGGTAGTGAAATGAAATCAGCTGGACTATTATGTAAGATGTCAATTCGAACTTTCGAGGCTGCATTGTCGCCCATCATTGGTCAAGATTATCCTCACAACCAATGACATGGCGGGCCGCGATCGAGTTCAATTCGATCTTTCGAATTCAAGTTATAGAATAGCTTATCTGTTTTTTTTGTTTTTTTTAAAATAAAACTGTGTTTTTAATAAACATCTGAAGTCAGAAATGATATCTACTATGTGATAAAGTTTGTTACAGGAGTAAAGATACAGCATTCTGGGACATTGAACAAGCGCAGAGATATTTCCAAGCTAGTTTACATTGTGAGCAAGTGATCCTGGCCTTCCAATATCCATACCCTAGGCTGCCCACACCCCTAGGCAATTATTTATGGAGAGCTAATGTCGCAACAAAAGTTGAATCTAATATCTATCGAGCTGAAGTGCATTGCGCTATCGAAATAACACTAAAGGTTACATTTGTTTTATATCCATGGGTACTTGTAGTTTGTCTATTTGAACTGCTGGCGACACTAAATATGCAAAAGAGCTACAACATCCGTTCTTTGGATTACACACAGTTTAACTTGCCTTCATGTCTATTACCGTTAGATTTTGGTTTAGACTTACTTAAAATGTGAATAATTATAAAATGATTGTGTACGAAAAACCCTGCTCTTTTGAAGAGATTTGCCATATTTTTTTCACCACAGGCGACTTTGAGACTGCAAAAAGGTCACCAAAATACTAGAACGATAGTTCATCAATTAAATAAACTCAAATATTGTCCTTTTTGTTCGACGACGGACATTTAATGATGTTTGTGTCAACATCCTGACTGCAAACCGTATTACACTGTTTACAGAAAATGGAAGTAGAGAGAGCTCAGATGGACCGGATTATAATATCCGGTTGCTACGTCAAACTTGTGCGACTTGATTACTTCAGAAGGAAAACATTTTTCAGACTCCTGTGTAATATAATCAGGTGATCAATTCTATACTAATCAAATACATATAAAGCTAAGTATTTGATTTGCTTCAACCGCTAATCTCCAAAACTACCTACTGCAAAATGGTCCAATTTAAATAATTATTCTTGAGTTTATTATAAAACATCACCCTATGATCAATAGGAGCCGAGCAGCGGGTAAAATCGCGGGGCTCGGCCGGCTCAGTATAACATAATATCATACCCTTTTTTCTCAAAGAATAGGAGTAGTGGATATACATACATAATATATAATGCACTTTTCATTAGTTAACTTAGGTTAATTATAAAAACAGTGAGTTGTTTGCCATACTCCCGGTACGATTCCCGTCGTACTATTTAAGTGGAAATCTTCAAAAATCTTGATGATACTTGTAATTCAAATCTGTGAAATTTTGCTGTTTAGAGGCACTTTGTGTCTTGTCAAATGAGGCAGTCTTCAGTATTAGAGTCTGCACACACACTGCACAAGCTGTCATTCATGCTATGTAGGCTTGGCTTTAAAGTCGATTCATTGGTGCAAAGTTAGAACTGAGCTTATCTTTCACACACAAGTAAGGTAACCATCGTTTTATTTCCATCTTAGCAAACCAAACTGGTCTCAACGTAGCTTACTTTTATATTATTTACGAATAGCCTATATATGACCATATTATGTGCATAATGTTCTTTCGGATACTACTTATTACAATAAGTACGTACACCTTTCAGGTGTAATTTGATGTATACTGTTCTGTCCGTAGTTTCCAAGATGACCTTCAACTAGTTTCTTTCGAAAACTTATGCTGCAGCAGGCTCGAAGGTGTACGGCTAATACAACAACTGGCTTGTTTCAATGCACAGACATTGAAATATTTGTTCCTGTGGAGATTCGTTATGCCAAATGAAAACCCTATCCTTATTAACTACTCGTATTTGACCGGTGCGTATTTGCCTACAATCTGCTTAGTCTTTTTATATAAGCCATCCTTTCCACCTTCCTTTGCGTCGCACGTCATCATCATCATCATCATATTTTATGGATAGTATGAGTAACTAGCTCATGGCCTGTCCTTCCGTGTATAATGATCCATTTATCTTTTCAGTCGAACTAGTAGTCTGTATGAACATTTATAGAATTGATTTTTTTTTAATAGTTTGTAAGATAACCACTAAAAGATCTCGGATTCGTCAGTTTGTCATTCAAGTGAGTGAACTTCTATGTGGTACGGTCCCAAGGCGGGGCGAAATATCGTATCACTAACCGTAACCGTATTACTCGTTATATCCCGACTCCTGATGGCCTCAGTTAGTATAATTATTTATAAATATGTATATAATTCTATTTTCCCAGTATAAAATTGTGTTCTTGGAGAGGGTCTAAACCTAAAGCTTAATGTAGGGACAAAAAAGAAAAAAAAGAAATAAGTAAATAATTATATTAAAAAATAACTCGAGAGTCGACGTTATTTTCTCTAAAAACTAATTTACTCATTTGTAGGAGTTAACTTGGGTGGTGCTGGCTGAGACTGAACGGCATGAGCTTGAGGCATAATTGAAGTAGCCGTGCTATTAGAAATCTTTTTGTACTGAAAGTGTGGTAGATTTTTCTTTGCGGCGTCGACAGTTTCTCTAAGCCGATTAGATCCCACAGCGTGTGACACATTTCCTTCCTCCCTGCACTCCTTGACAAGGTCTTGCATCTCGTGTTCAGGCAAAGGCACGATCATCTGAGAGGATTTTTCCATATGTCGCTTCAACTCGCTGTCCACGCGGAGTAGTTTCTCTTTGCTTGAGTTTGTTCGCCACGGTCTTTTAGGATCCGCAGAAGTCATCAGCACGCTCTCGGAATTAGCTTTCTTTGCTCTGTAAAGTACAAAACACTGGTCTACTGGAAGAAATTCCAACAGGAATAAGTAGCACCTTTGTACTCTTATTTTATATATGTGTTATCCTCTGTGCTGTCTGTGTGTACATAAATTATTAAATAATAAATAATAATAATAAAACAATACCTATTTAATTTTAAACTGTATAAAAAATTTTAATCGAAAAGAACGCTTGATTGATTGTATTTTAACTGTACTATTCTACGTCCTCTAACTCCACACAGCTCATGGAATAAAATGTGCTGAAAAGTTGTGCTATAATTTACAACATGGACGTAACTTGCATTTGATGACAAACCTTTTACTTTCAGCCAGTAACGCCCTCAGTTTTTTTTCATTCTCTTCAAGTAATTGTGGATCAACTTTATATGGGTTCTCAGTCAAACCGTCGTTGATTTCCTCAGACTCCTGGCGACTTTCGGCCTCAACTTCACCCCCAAATCTTTGGTGGAAGCTCTTGACGAGATCAGAGCATCGTTCTGTTAATTTTACTTCAGGAACTTCTAATCCTTGTAGCAATTTGCCTAATTTACACTTTTCTTCGTCAGTTGCCATTTCAATGTTTGGAGAATGTTATTTTGTTACTGTGGCGACGTCTCTAAATAAGCGGTTGTCTAGGTGATATTATGTGTAGTATACGTTCTTCAACTCTCATTTAATTGTCTAATATTTAAAAAGAAGTGTTATTAACAATAGCGTTGACTTTAATGGAAGCCACACCTGAATAATATGAAAATAAACCGCCCATGTAAAATGCCATCATACCCAAGAACGTTGCACACGGTATAAGAAAACAAAATAGTTTGCAAGTCGGACACAGTATAAATAACGGGAACCAATTGATCATATTTCCTTTCGCCAGTTATTTGGGCTGTAATGTTTCATAATTTTAATAATTTTCCTATTTTTATTAATAATTTTCTTAAAAAACTATGTAAATTTTTTTGCCCTATATCATAGACTAATAGACATCTTTCAAAATGATTAAATAGAGTTTTTTTTTCTTTATCTGTCAAGGTCTAATATCATTTTTAGAAGGAGTTACAATCACAGAATCCCAATCTACCCATTTACTTGCCCATTTATAAATCGAAAGTCTTATTTACAATGTCTGTTCATAATCTACCAAAATGAAGTGAATGTTACTGGGAGATTATACTCGTACCACGGTTATTCTTGAATCGATATTCTTCATCGCATGGTTTCCAAAGCATATTCATAATTTATCTACTTAAAACCGGAGGGCCGAGTTGTTCCTTCACAGTTCTTTTACATAATTCTGCCTATCTTCGCCGTTTTGAGCGCTTAGATAATAAAAATAAAAATTCTACGCAAGACACAGACGGGAACATGTTTCTTAAATGCTCTGATTCATTCATTATTATTACCTACTTAATCCGACACATTCAATTTCATTTCAACAATTTGAGTAAGTACTTACTTATTAAGAAAATACTTACTTTTGAGACAATTTTCCTGGATGCATTAAGATTTTTACACAAACAAACATAAAATATCTTACTCTGAAATGCTCAAACGCCACTCATTTAAGTCACGCTGAAATATATTTCTGTCACTACAAATTCTTTGTAAAATTACAAAGATGGTGCGATATTTAAGGACAACCTAATATTGAGTAACTTTTCAGTATTTAGGCGTTAACAATATAAGTTATTCAATACTTACTTACTCTGTTGGCTCAGCGACCAAAATAGATCTTGGCCCGGAGGCCCAGAGGCCCGGAGGCCCGGAGGCCAATATCTATTATGCTTATCGGAATACGAGACTTTTGGATTTCTTGAGGTTCTTGGCAGTTTCCGCTGAGTTACTGAGTTACTGTTGGAAAGGTATGATGGATATCATACCTTGATATACCATACCATACCATATCACACCATACCATACCATACAATGACCGTACCATAATTTTTTTCTGAAGATTACTTTCAGTTATAGGAAACCAAATAGTACAGGATCCGTGGCCTATTTTTTCACGGAATTTGTAGGACAATATGACCGTTACATTACCTATATAAATATTAACTAAGTAAAAAAAATCAGCTGGTTAGTAATCAATTTTGGTGATCTCGTTATCAATACATGTTGGAGGGGGAGGACTCTTTGATGAAACCATAGATTTTGTAGGACAAATAATTTAGATAATTATCATTACATTTATAAAAACAATTCAGTTAATAATAAATATTGAAGAATCATCAAATCGACATATTTTATCCTTGCTACCTCTGTTAGATACCACAATCAAAAATTTTCGCACAGGAAATTGTTGGGCGTCTTAACAAAATGAAGCTACTCACGGAAAATTAGCTTGATAGTAATCAAGTGAAAAAATAGGCCACGGATCCTGTACTAAAATCTCAAACCAATACAATATTTTGATACGTAGTACAATTAACCTGGAAAAAGTAAAAAATATATTGGCCTACTGCCTCGTTGGCCGAGTGGTCGCAAGTGCGACTGCCGGGCAAGGGGTCTCGGGTTCGATTCTCGGGTCGGGCAAAGTATTAATGGGATTTTAATAAATTCTCAGTAGTAGCACGGAGTCTGGAATTGTGCCCGGTATATGGCAATAGGCTCACCCCCTATTACATGGGACTCATAACATAAATAGTGAAAAGCGGGTGTTACATTGTACAGAGGCATAATGTGCACCTCTGCCTACCCCTTCGGGGATAAAAGGCGTGATGTTATGTTATGTTATATAATTAATTATATTATATAGAATATTTTGATCTACCTTTAATTTAAGATATATGAGTATTTCACTATGTTTGCATTTTTTTATAAGGCAACGTGAAGTCAAAATATGAGATAATAATATTCGGTACAAATCCTGTGCGGCGTAGCACATAAAATGATGTCACAGATGTCGAATATTTTTATAAATAATTTTCTAAATAGTAAGTACCTACATAAGTACTTGATCTTGAAAATTCGTGTCACAAAAACTACTCCAGTACAATACAATTTTAAGAATTTATCGTTGCTCCAACTATAAGTTATAAAGCATGACTTATAAGTACTTACATGCATAGTTGCTTGCGACCTCACCGTAATGATGACATATCAAGTCAGTCAAAGCTGAAATACTAAAGGATATTGGAATAATGGGTGCAATATTTATATTTTAGGTACAACAATACTTGTGGTACCTAATTAAATTGTGGAATTCCTCTGTATACTGGTCTCTGACAAAAAACTGGAACGAGTGCCAATTTGCGTCTGTGTTCGAGGCTTTGAAGCCGGACATCTGCTAGACCATCAACGTGGAGCCACTCGGCACACCACTCGAAGTTCTTCAGCGCTTTTACTTAGGTGGTATTAGGCGAGTCATCCCAAAAATGAGAGCAGTACTCCCTACAGGACCAAACCTGCGTTTGGTATTAGGTATCTTTTATTGTAAAAAGTACACCTATTTATAATATTTTATCAATTTCAGGTAGTGGTCAGTATATACCCAGGCCGGACACAAGAAACACCTTTGTCCGCAGTCTTGGGGAGTTGACGAACTTACGAGTTCTAGCTCTAGAATATGCACACATAGCCGATGATACTGGAGCAGTACTATTGTCTCTGTTACCGGTGATTAAGAGGCCACATTTCCGATTGCAGGTAGGTACATCCATACTAATTCCATAGACTAAGCAATTAGATAATACCAACTTACCTAATATCGAACGAGTGTCATCGTTCTTCTCCGAGTCAAGCAACTCTCGCCTAGCACTGCAGCAATGCCAGAGCGGAGTTGATTACTTAACACCTTCTTTAATATATCTGTGCTTAACACTCATTAGAATCTTTTCTCCGACTTGAGTACATTTACAGACTTCACAATCACAATAATTTACAGTACCTTAGTAACTTACGAATAACACTGAGAATTTGTTGACACCCGGGAATCGAAGCGGTCTCACGTTGCTCTGCAATTGGCAATTGGCATCCAACCATTACGCTAAATAGTCAAACGTCTATAGATATAAATAACTAATTAAGAGGTAAAATGTGATTCTTAAACAAAGGCGTAAAATTAGAATCGGTAGGTACCTTAAATCTTTGTGAAGCAATGGCAGTTGACTAAGCTACTCGGATGGATCTACCAACTGGAGTTTTACATTTTTGTAATTGAGGAGCCAAGGAACAAAAGGTGACATTTAGGCATTCAGCTCAAAAGGTTTTGTTTTTGTATCGGGCACAAAACCATTTTTTATAAATTTTGTCTAAGTATACCTAAGTGTTCTTTTTGTTATTTTTGTACTCAATAATCAGGGTGACGTTTTCTTTTAAGAAAAAACCCTGTAAATAACTAAAGATAAAAAAAATAAAAATAAATTTTGAACACCAGTGGTTCAAATGTCAACTTTACTGCTTTTAAGAGAAAATATCACAATCAAAGCATAGTATTCTGTTTCAAAGGTAATACCTAAAGGTCATTATTTTCTTACATATTATACATATACCTACCTATTTGGTATATTTAATTTTATCAATATTTTAGCATTTTATACACCCATCATCAACAGGCTCAACAGCCTATAAATGCCCACTGCTGAGCAAAGCCTCTTCTCACACGGAGAAGGTTTGAGCATTAATCACCACGCTTGCTCAATGCGGGTTGGCGATTACAAACTTATAATTAGAAATTATAAGTCCAGGTTTCCTCACGATGTTTTTCCTTCACCGTTTGTCAGTGGTGTCTAAATAATCTTAGAAAGTACATATAACTCGGATAAAGTCACATTGGTACTTGCCGTTAGTAGGTTTCGAACCCGCACCCTCATGCATGAGAAGTGGGCGTCTTAAACCTCTGCGCCACCACGACATTTATACACCCATTTAGTTAATTATATTAGTCAATATTCCAATTGCACAGCCATTTTACATCTTTTCTCATTTTCTAAAAAAGTGTACCTAAATGTCACTTTTTGTACCTCCTCAATTATGAATGATGTTGCCTAACTGCCAAAAAACAAATGTATTAAACATGACTCAGTAGCACCTCCTTCGCAATTTATAAAGGCGTGATATTGTTTAAAGTGCGCACTTGGCAGCTTTGTGGGACAGCCACCCAGTGTTGTATCTGAGTCAAGGGAAACACTAGTTACAGTTTTAAATTTAATATGATTGTCCATCCGGAATTATGATGTTTTTCTAGTTAATTTGCAGAGAAGTTGCGATCCCCGGTCGGGCAGATACCTCTCTCGGAGGTGGAGGGTACGGCATTCCTGACACCGCCTGGAGACGCGTTGCCATTGCCTGTCCTGACATCTACTTATTCATGGCGTTCTGTCAGTACCATGTGCCCGCTGACATTTTGTTTTAAGTTTAAAAGTTGCAATAAGTATCTAACTAGACATATTTTAATTCGTAGATATACCTATCAATATAAATATACTTGATTACCTATGTACCTGCTGCCGTATAGTTATTGGTTGATCGGTTTATAGTTTGTATTCGTGACTACGACAATGTCAGACGGTTTTTGACGCCCAGTATTCCACTCCGTGAAGTGCACTTACAGTTTGGCATCGATATGTACAAAGTGCAGAGGCAGGATTCTGACATAAGCTGCTTCGTTCGGCACATAGCATATCGCTATGCTAATAATTTAGGTAAGTGCGCAATTAAAGAACTTAGGTACATACATTATAATAAACCTTGCCTATACCTAAATGCTCCTCTCTGCACAATTATCAAAGGAACTTTGATTTTCCTGTGTTATGTGCCGTAAGTACGCTACACATCTTACGACTTAACTGTGCAGTGTAACTGTATAATCGAATTGTATCTACAGCTAAATTGTGTGTAGAGAAAAATTGAACTGTAAGTAGGTACCTTGTGTAGGTTGTAAGGACCTTTAACTCTACAGTTAAATTGTAAAGTGGGTATCCTGCATTATTTGTACTTTGCTAGATAACAGTATGTATGATGAGTATCATGTACCTATTCCTGTTGGGATGTTGTATATTAATTAATGGTAACGGTTATTAATTTTAGCTGTTAGTTACCTAATCAAAAACATATTTTACTTAGGTTTAGGTAGGTACCTCATTGGTAGCAAATGTGACTGCCGACTGATGACTGTTGATGAAGCGAAAGAGATATATATGAATCATAGTAATTGGCGTTCTATAGTGTCTGCCTACCCCCATAGGATACAGGCTGAGGTGAGGTTATGTATGTATGTGACTGCAGAGTTTCGGTTTCGGGAGTGTAAGGTTACTTACCTACTTACTGGGTATCATTCAGATTTTAGACAATTTCTCGATAATAGTATCAGTATGCACGCTGGAATTGTGCTCGATATAAATATAGTAGTAGGTTTTTCCGAATTTCATGGGGAGTTGATGGGAGTCATAATATACCTACCTGGTGACAAGTGAGTGGTGAAATATTGTAGAACTTAAAGAAATGGACACAAAGGCGAACTTATCATGCACAGTCTCTTCTTCCAGATAACCTTTGTGCGGAATTAATATCATGTAAAACCTATGTACTAAAGCACACCATTTGAGAAAATCTGTTGCTTTTGAAGTTTTCAGTCTGTAACATCTTAACAAGAATACAGGAAACCTAGCACTGGCATGTGTAGGCTACACATGGTTTCGAATACGGGTTTTATTTTAGTTCTCCGCAATTATTTTACATTTCATTGTTAAAGCACTATAGATAAGGTACCTTCAGAGCCGTATTATCCTTATGGCAAAATAGGCAAGTGCCTAGGGTACCAGGTTATAGAGGGGCACGGCGAGACACGCGTGCCCAAATGCCCAGAGCGGCGGCGCCTATGATGTGCTTAGGCCTAGGGCGCGGTTTCGACCAAGAGGTCGAATCCGTCTCTGGGTACCTTAGATGTGTATTACCTATTCCAGTAACTTTGAGTATACATCAATGGAGATTTGCAGTGTTCCCGTTGCGACGTATTTTAGAATTAATGCCGAGGATTGTGCGTTTTTTCTACATCGGCAAAGTTGAAGACGAAGTTGATTTAAAAAGATTATTCAACTTAATAGCCTGTGGAGTTTGTAAAAGTTAGTGTTCCTCAATATTTTTGTTACTTTTCCTGCTACCTACTTATTTATTGTAAGTATTTTGTACTAAGAGATTGTTTTACTAGGTAGGTGGTAAAGTGGGTATGGTGGTTCCATACTGTTGTTAAAAATAATGAAAATTACTGTAGATATTTAAGTACCTATTACTTACAAATTTGTGTAAATAAACATTCTAACAGCATTGTGGAAGCACCACTAGGTACCTATTTTAGGTAAAAGACTTATCTCAAAATGGCAATAGGTCTATGATGATTTATCGGGTACCTTGTAAATAATAGCTCACAATTAATAATGTTTTTTTATTTATGAAGTCTACAAAATTATATCATCCACGTTTAGATATAGTATTCATACTTTGTGAACTTTACGCAGCGAAACTATATAATCAATCGTACCTAATCTACTTACCTACATATTACAGATTTAAAACAAGTACAAATACAAATACAGGACGATGAAGACAAAAGTTCTTATTGGAAAGACGTTGTTGAATCTTTGACGGAGGAGTTTGCAGACATCATGGAGTTATATGACATAAAACTATGCTTAAGCATCTATAAGAGTTGATACAAACGCTATTGCACATTTGGGACAGGTACAACCAATAAATGACAACACTTTTGAAAGCTACTTTTTTATTAATGGAGTGTACAATTTTGTGTCCCCGCTTAAATCTAGCCAATGTTCTAGTAAAAAATTAAATATGACGTCTGCATTGTCTATTTGTTATATTTAGGTAACAACGCCCGGCAGTATAAGTCTATCACACCTAACATACTTATAATCTTTTATGCAAATATAGGTACATTTTATTATACAATACATATTATTTCTAATGTATAGGTAATATACAAATCCAACTTACGTACCTAACAATTTTAAAACAAAAATATATGTGTAAAGGTAGTTAAATTGTTGTTCACTTCTATGGAAGTGATGTTTACATAAGTGCATTAGCTACTCATACTCAGGTACCAATGAAAAGAAACGCTTCATCAAGATCATGCCAAGGTATTTACTTGTCAGATTCTCGTGACTAATTCCTGTATTGGCAAATTTAAAATATGTTTCAATACCTACAGCACGGTTACAAATCTGCACGTAGATGCAGGTACGTATTTATATGATTTAGTTTCACAACAGATCATTGAATACATTCGTTCTGTTCGAAATATAATTTCAACTGAACACTCAAGTAGATACAACCCGATGATATTGATAAAGTACCTTTTGAAAATGTTGAGAAGTTTTAAGCAAAGGCAGCAATGACATAGATAAGCATTATCTAGAAAAAGTTGCAATGTGGAAATACACATTTGTTACATATGTATAGGTATGCAGAGAGATGTAACATGTAAGGAAAATGAAAAAACACGTCATTCTTTCCAAAAATCCTATCAAATGAAAGTTGTACTTTATGTACATAAATATAGTTATTGTAAATATCTTTATCACTATTCATTATTGCTAGGTTTCCATAAAATCTTTTTAATCTGATAAATACGATTACTGAAAAACTTCAACAAGTCATTATTTTGATTAGGTAGGTAGGTAGGTAGGTACTAGTACCTGAAATAAAACCAGACACTTAGGTAGTTAACTTAATATCTAGGTTTTATTTCTGGTGGCTTTTATTTAATAGTAAGCATTGTAAGGAAGACATTAAATATTTAAGTACATATTGTATGTATTGAAAGTAGGGACATATTGAGAAAAACATTTCAACTTGACAACCAACATTACAGTATTAAATAGTCGTTGTTAAAATTTATATGAAATAATAATAAATATAACACACACCTAATTAGGTAAATATTTAAATGATGGTAAACAATTAGCTTTAGAACAATTTATTAACTTTCGCCACGTGTCGATTACTCGCCTTATAACAAATTCGTTATGAAACACATTAGTTCTGTAAACTTGCATTTGTTGACAATATTCTAAGTGCCTATTTTAGTAAAAATATTAATGCGTTTTAAGGCAGCAAGCCCTCATTAACGAATATCCTAAATATCTCGTTATAAGGTTATTATTCTTGTAAACCTTACGTTTAATGCCACATAACATTAGTAGTAAGAATCCCTAAGGAATTCATGCGCCCACTTAGAATAAAATGGAATTAGTTTTCCTAAGTCACTTCAATTTTGTAAAGAATGTGTTGTAAATTGGTTTTAAGTAACAACACGTAAGTCTTGACATAAAGCGCCTCTATATTTCAATTTAATGATGTTTTGTTGCAGAGAAACCTAAACATATTTGGTAAATAAGGCCTGGATCCAAATACCTACATAGAAATTAATTTAAACATGTTGAAAACCTCGGAACATTGCTAATTAGTTCACTATAGTTTGTTATTTCGCATAAAACTAATTATTGATGGGATCTACCACAAATTTACTACAAGAACCAATATCAAATAACATTTTTTGAACATATAATGATTTAGAATAATTTAACAGTTCGCTATGAGATGCCTTCATGAAAAAATAAAGCACTTGTATACACAACCTACATAGTATATTATATTACTCGACGGTAAAACAATGTTATTAATAATCCATTCATTATGTTAGTAACTTTAAACATTTTCTAAATCTGCAAAATAGCCTATGGTGACAAAAGTCATAACGTAACCGCTATAAAATATACAGACACTACATAATATTATTATAATTTGTTTTTGTATATTTGAACATCTCCGATCCGTAATAGGTATATATTCAATTACAATTTATTTCTATACATATCTATTACTTAATTAGGTAATAATTGAGCCTAAGCGTAAAGCATACCCAACAAATAGGTAAGTAAGTACCAAACAATGATTATTATTATGCTTAGGTACTGTACCTAAGTATAATAGTGATTTTACTATTGGGTAGGTACCTACATACTTTATATAGTTTTGCCATACCTACTCATTTCGCAATTAAATTTTGTAGACGGAGCGCAAGCGACTGCTTACTTACTGTGTAAAAATTGTCACATTGTTATTGGTCAATGTCATCAACACATGTCTTAACATGTAACTGGCCTTATTTTGTTTATACACATTTGTATACTGGTTACATATCAATTAAGTACTTGTTTAATAAAAAACGCTTTAATCCGTGCCGCATAAAGCGCTCCGTTAAGATTTCAAGGGTTTACAAATACAAAATTAATAAGTAATAAAGTACCTAATAATTAATTACAATTTTTAATTATAAATAACAATATAAGAGATAGTACTTAATTGTTGACAGCAATGCGTATAAGCTGCAATAACAAGTACCTACCTACAATTGGTGAAAAGTATATAATTTTATAGTCATGAGAATTTAATGGGCACCAGTGTGGAATTAAGCTTATATTTAATTGTAGGTAAGGTTTTTTACTTTTTATTTATTTACCTTACAAGCCGAGTGAAAAATTTTAAGGATTACCTATAAAAATGCCCAGCAATCACTGCGAAATCTCGCCAGCTACTAAAGTAGCCAAGTAGTACATTGCGACACTACATAAATCATATTATGATCATTTAAAAGCAGTATCTCATAGAAACTGTTCAGTAACAACATCCTATTTGGTAAAATCTTAACTTTTCCATAACTAGGAACTTGTTGTATTTGCTTGACTTTATTTATACACGTAGGTAGGTAGGTACCCACATAGGTAGGCGACAAGTTATAATAATACTAAGAAATGTTTTACGCTTAATACATGCCAACAATTATATACCTAGATCACTATTATGATACTCTGCGACTAAACAATGTATAAAAATATGAAATATCTCTATGTTTAATAAAAATATAAAGGGGATGAAACTTTTGTGACTTAATCATATAACTTTTATTATTTTAAAGTTACGGCGCTTTGGCAAACTAGTACGTAGTATACCTAGATATACAAAGGGAGGTCTTTGTCCAGCAGTGGACGTCTTCCGGCCATATGATGATAATGATAGAAATACATTGATGTGGACACATTTTAAATGTGAACACTTGACAAACAAAATAACTAAGTACGTAGGTATGTTGTAAGGTATAGTAAGAATGTAGTGCTCCGAAAGCATTACAATAAAAGCAGTAGGTATGTATGTCGACCATGTGATTGTGACCTCAGCCGATTATTTATTTGCATACCAATTCGACATTACGCCATTACTTAAATAAAATAAAGAGTTATTTGATCAATACCCAAAAAACACTTCCGACCCCTTTTAGCTTTTGTAACCGCAAGTAACCGCGGCTGGTGCGGCTTTATGTGATGAATAAGTAGCTATAGTATCCATAGGTACATAGCAATTGTCTATAATATACCGTCCCTATTCGGCGGCATCTGCGCACGATCAACCCACCTATGACTACTACGCGTTTTTGGGCAGATCATCACATACCATAATTTTACCGATAAGTTAGGGTAATGACTGCCTTGAATGAAAGCCTCTCGGTAAATGAACAAATTACATAGGTACTTTTACTTGTCTACGCTATCTACACTTCTACATTAATATTATAAAGAGGAAAGATTTGATTTGTTAGTTTGATTTGAATAGGTTCCTAAACTTCAGGACCGATTTGACAAATTCATTTGAAACCTACATTATCACTGATAAACATATAACAAGAGAAACAAGGGAAGTGTCAAAATCTTGATAATGTAACCCCATGTGTGATAAACCTACCAAAAAACTCCTTATATTGCTTACGCTGTGGAATTTATGGACAATAGAACAACGTGATGTACTAGTCTTATAGAGGACATTAATGCCCCTATATGTATATCACATGTGTAACTATTTATCACACAGTTATGCCATAATAACTACATTTCATCTGAAAATGCGCAATAGACCAGGCCAAATTATTAGTACCCGAAAATCCCAGAATAACGGGAACCATGTGGACAAGTCCCGGGACATTTCATATCTTAAACCACCGAACTTATTTGAGTGAAATTTAGTAGTTTTAAGCCGGAGAAAGGACGTATGATAGATATTATCCGGAAATCTCATGGGAACGGGAACTAGACCTTAAATCCCGGAACTCTCCATCTCTTAAATCACTGAACCTATTTCATTGAAATTCGGTACAACGAATTTTAGATACTGGAAAATATCTATTATAGTTCTATTCCGGAAATCCCACGGGAATAGAACTATGTGTTAAAATTCCGGGACACTATCGCTTAAACCACTGAACCAAATATTTGAGTGAAATTTGATATTATAAATTTGAAATTTGGTACAACGATAGTTTCGAGTTCTGGGAAAAGAATTACTATAGTTTTTTTGTCGGAAATCTCAAGGGAACTGCACCTTAAAATATTTGGACTCTCAATCTTTTAAACCATTAAATGTGGGTTACATTGAACTTATTTGAATAAATGTAGAACAAAGGTTTGTAAAAATAATTAAATATTTTTTATCACACTTCACGGGAACGGGTAAAACGAAAATTCTACGTCAGAAGTCATTATTATACGCGGAAAAAGTCGCGGGGAACAGCTAATAATATACAAAATCTGTTATACAATGTATGATTACAAAGGTATCTTATCTTCTGCACTACGTACGCCAGTTATTCCACAATTTCCTGATAGCCTTTGTAATTCTAAAATAAGGGTAAAGATAAAGTTATAAATTTGACCGGTTGTAATTTGTTTACAAAATTGGTCACAAATTTAAAGAACCTCGTGGATTCGTGGTTAATAATATCATTTTTACTATGTAGAATATAAAAGATATAAAAACGTCAATTTATCAAATAACTCTAAGTACTTACTTTATACATTGCATAAAAGCATTTAATTACAGTCTTTCATAAAATAAAGTCTTACAAAAACAAGAGTGCTAACTAAGTAGGTACCCGTAATAGGTACCTGTACAATAATGTGCGATGAATTCGTTCATTTACTAAAGAGATTCCCCGGTCATTTCGACTTTTCGTTACATTTATTGCTCTCCATATTTTTAATCTCATTTTAAGTATGTATATGATTGGTCAAAGTGGGTTTTTATTCGTTTCTTCATTGAAGCCTTTACCCTAGAATGTCGTCAGGTTCATTCATTTTTCTATATAAATTGACAAAACATTCTATAGTTTTAGGGCCGATTTTTCCAACGCCAGATAAATTTTAACTGAGAAATAACTTTGAATATTTGATAATTCTTCCATACTAAACACTGACAATTTTATTCTACAGTTAAGAATTAACTGATGATTGAAAAATCAGCCGATAATGTTTTTGACAGATTTTTCCCTTAACTTTTTTTAACACTATTGTAACAACAATTTCCGGGTATATAAGTTACTAAACTATCCTACAAGTTACCCTACTTAAGTAGAATTTTCAAAATCTATTGCATATAAAATCGTCTATAGCTATACCTAGCATTGTTATTTGCAAGTTGTAGGAACATGTTAGAACCTATCAAGGTTCAATAGCAAATATACATGACTCATGATGACATTGTTTTGAGGTACATAGTCACAGAATAATACATTCGTCAGCTTCTATGGCTCTTTCATTTAATGTTTAACTTGTTCATAATATTTATTGCTTTCTCGTTGTATTAATTTTCTCTATGGCATTACAGCCATTTCTAAGACGCTTTGTCAGTGCTATATTTTACGTCATTGTACATGACTTTTATTCATACAGTGAATTCACTTCTAAATTAGAATGTATAATTACATATTACATATTTTATTTACACTTTAACAGGCCAGTACTTAGGCTTATATTTCTTGCATTTACATTGTTACCAACTCATTATAAAATGGATTCTCAATTATAAAGTTGGTAGAGCTTGTTCAGCGGCCTGCGCAGACTCCAGGATGCTATCTGCCGCATTTTTTTTTAAATGTACTGACGAAGGTATTCTTACCGTGACCTAACATGTCGGTACTTGCAACCAGCGATCGGCAAAGCTAACCAGAATCAGGCGCTTCTAAAAAATGTTATAACCTAGCTCATTTTAGTCTAGTTAGAACACCATCATAACGCACATACGGATACGATCAACATAAATTATTAATTTCTATGTAAAAGAGAATTTTCTAATTATTATGTATAAATGTTAAGTAAACGATCACTTACAATTATACATACATATATTATTATTAATATATTAATATTTAACTCCGCCGTAATATAACAGTAACAATATAAAATTGTGAATGATAGCTTTTATTAACACAACAGTATGGTTAAATGGGTTACAACACAAGTTCTGTGCTTAGCTTAAAAATCTCACAATTAGTATTAAGTCTCTTACGAATTTTTCATTATTGCAACTTAGGACGATATGTTTTAGTATTAAACAATAACAATTGAAACAAACTACTAAGTTCTACAGTGTAGCACATTTTAAATTTCACAACAAAAATAAAAAGCGAAACAACACGACACGGACGAAAGTATGTATGAATAATAAATTTCGTTACGCACATAATGTAGTTCCCATAACAAAATAAGGATGAGAAACTGAACATTGGGTTAGGTTAGCCCAACCTGCTGTAATAATAGCGATCATCATTTAGAATGCTATCTTTTTCTAGCAGGCAGAACGAGAAAGAGAAAAGGATTGGCAGTGATCTGTAACTTCCACACAATACGTAACGCCAAACGCGACGCTACATGCGACTTGTAATCTTGATAAAATAATTAGATCTATTTTTAAAATATTTGGATTGAGTTTCAGTCTTTCTTATTTTATTTGCTAGGTAAAGATAGCTGCCTTTCTATTATACTATATTATACGACAGCAAGGGAACAGGCGTTTGTACAACAAATAATATATTTATTACTCTTTAATGTATGGAAATACTGTATATTATTTACTAAAATATGCAACTTTTTATAGATTTAGAGATGCTTGGTGTTATTTAACACCACGGGCCACCTTCATGTTATGGTAATATTTTATATTGAATTTATGTTTTAAACTAAATGTATATATACAAATCTCAATCCTGTTAATATATAGGTATATATTTATAAAATTGTAAATATTTTCTTGTATTTTGGTACATTAACACTATGATGAAGTTGTAGATCTATTAAACCAATTATTGCTTTTGTTTTACACTGTGGTGTTCATAAATAGGAATACTCAGTAAAGATTAGCTTTTTTTAAAAAGTTTATTTACATAACATACATAGTAACTGACAAGAGTAGCTAATAAGTAATAAAAAAAACTCAGCAGCGGAGACAGTTAAATGAACGTTACTTATAAAGGACGGAGAGCGGAGCGTGCCATCCAAGACAAAGGCGAACGAGTCGCTTTCGCCCGCACTACTCGCTGCGCACCTCGGACCCAACCAACAGAATTCACGAAAATTTGAGACAAATACCACTGCTTACTGAGTCACAGCTAACTATTTAAATTAAAACTAAATAAAAATATCTATTAAATCAAAAGTTACATGGTATAAGAAAGTATAATATAACTTGCAGTTTTTGAAAAATAATATTTAAAACATAATTAAGAAATTAAAACTTACTGAATATTAATAAAGGAAATAAAATAAATGAAATTGAAAATAGTTAAAATCAGAGAAATCATACACGTAAAGAAACTGTTACTCTTCTCAATTTACAATAAGGAAAATTTAAATATGCATCTACAATGAAACATTGAACTGATTCAAGTGAAACCAAATTACTAATAGTGTAAATAGCCATGATTCGAAGTATCCGGTAAGGGGTCAATCATTAAATATTTATTAACTATAATTGAGTTGGAATCAACGTTGTATTGTGAACAATTATAGAATCTGTTTGCAGCGGCGGATTCCACCGTGGAACCAAATACCCAAAGGCCTTTATGTTCAACAAGACACTAACAACGTGACTGGGGATCCGGCGCTGTAATACTCCGCTACTGCGCCTGACATCTGTGCAAGCACAACACTTAATATTATCTATACAAATATTTACCAAGTTTTATTAAGACAACCGTATTAACGACATAACAAGTACTTTTTGTACGAGATAAGTATGGTGCTCACACTAAATGATCGTATTACCTACATTTACCTATCTGTTTGCAGTGACGGATCATACGGCAGACTATAACCCACATGTCATAAATTGATTTACAAAAATAAAGTTACGTTTTAACAGAACACCAACAACCTGGCGTTTGGGAATCGTTCATTATAAATCCGCTACTGCATTCAGCCTTTTCAAAAACAAACATTTATTAACTATAGAATTATATGATTTAAGTAAATAATTAGATTCATATATTAACTATTAGTTTCATCGTCAAACCAGATAACAGTTAACTTATAAACAGGAGTACGTGTACATATTTTTCTAAACAGTGACTTCACTAATACGACTAAGCTATAACCCAAAGAAAGCATGCAAAAGTAACTAAGTATAGTAGACCAGAATATACAGTTAATTTAGTAAAATGGTGAAGCATTCGGACGAATCGAGATAGAATGAATAATGAATATAAGTAGGCGACTATCGCAAAAAAATCATATCATACGGCAATCCGTATGACGCAATCGTCAGAGATAAAATTCTCTGTTGTCAAGATTGACATTATACAATAGATTTAAAAAATAAAATAATAATCAGAGTAGGATAAAAGTTTACGACGTCAATTGTAATCTATTAATATATAAATATATTAAAAGCAGTAAAAACATTTAAATAAAATATTAAAAGGAATATTAAATATATTGCAATCTTGAGAACAGAGAAATGCACACACAGTGCTATTAAGATCATCATGGAAATAAAAACATTGAATATCTGACAATTATAACAGTCGTTCATAATTATAATATTTCAATAGTAAAATGATTACATTGTACCATGCAAATTACACCCATAGAAAATAAACCTGATGAAATTTCCTAAATTTATATTAGGTAGGTACAATACCGAACCATGCATAAAATTTTGAAGCAAATTTAATTTAAAATCTTGATAAATAACTATTCGCGTTAAAAAATATTATACAACTTTTTTCTAGCTTCTGTTAGGTTAAGCGTTATCATTAGAATAATAATATAATCTATGAGTTCCATTTAGGATGATTCTAATATATAAAAATATAGAAGACGTTGAATGCAGACGATGCCTCAGGCGTTGCCGCGATCAGCACGGGTGCGATCACCGGCGCAAACAGCGGCGGCATCGCAACCGCGTGGTAGGGCGCTCGTCAGTCCTCGCTGCATGAGTCCTCATTGTCGGCCTCCTTGATGTTCGTAAAGAACGAGGTCAACGCCTTCATCATTACACCTGAAAACCACAACAAATACAATAAATAATGTTGTCCAAGTAATCTTTTGGTGCAAGATAAAAGATTAACAGTTACCTTTTCCTTCTGGCTCTTTTTCAGATTCTTCCCACGCTATAAACCCATCTAGTGAAATAATATATTGTTCATGTAGATATTGGAATATCTCTAAAGTTAAGCCTGCAACAAAAAAAGTTTAGTCAGTAAAAAGTTATTTTTAGGGTTATTAGTGGGAAACAATTAAGGTGTACAAATCATTTCTTTCGTTCAATAAAAAAATTAAAATAGACTTTTCCTTACAAATCATATCAATATAAAAATGCCCGAACAAAATCCAGAGTCGATTAAAATCATTCATGTACAATATAAGTGAGAAGTCACAAATACGTTATTCGTATTGGCCAAACTGTACTTATAAATAATAATTACATTTACGAGAATTGTAAGCAAACCTCCCAAATATACCAACACTAGCTTTTACCCGCAGCTTCGCTCGCGTCACAAAAGGATAAAAAGAAGCCTATGTGACATATACCAATACACATAGCGCCATCTATACCAATTCTTTTGTTTTCCCTAGGAAATATCAAATTTTTCCGGGATAAAAAGTACCCTATTATTTAATCCGGACTTCTAACTTTACGTCTGCAAAATTTCAAAGCAATCGGTTTATATGGAGCTCATGTCAAAATTCTATCTCTAGTAAGCAAATCTACAGATAGATAGGTTATAGAAACTGGACGTTAGTAGTTACGGCGTGAAAGCGGAACAAACAAACTAACTTTCCGATTTATAATATTAAGTAAGGATTTTGTTCAAGAAAATGTGTTAGTTTTTACTGTTTTGTACCTCCAATTTCATTATATATTTGTGTTCTCCTGTGTACTGTATGTGTATTGTGCTTGTGCATGAATTTATAAATACATAAATAAACTGACTGTTAAATCTGTGGGAAGATCATACAAAGCAAGACCATGATAAGCTTTAAGCATTATCCTTTTGTTTGTTATTATAACTATTTTTGTTATCAAATGTAAATTTATCGCATCTAACATTGCGTCTTTTGTAAATAACTAGTTTTATTCATTAATTGTTACCTTGTGGGTGTTCTAGCCTTCGAATAAGTTGCTGTATACCAAATAAACAGCTCGCTTCTCTTGACTGTTTTGTTTCACCAAAGTCATGTATCAGACTCGCATATTTATTCATGCGGTCTTGGTTGAAGTGTGGTACATCGCGTCCTTCAGCACCGAAAAGTGCATGTTCGCATATTGCTTGGATTAGTGCTCGCATAAACCAATCTTCATTAGTAAAACTGCTGAGTTTATCCTGAGGAAATTAAAACTGGTTAACTAGATACATTATTGGCTAAAATTTTAGACAACATACACTTTGATGCTTCGAAATCAGTAGAAACATGTTCTATTTTTTACCTGAATCCATCCTTTTATACATTCACAACTCTCATCAGCATTCATGAGTTGAATTAATTTGGCTTGAGTTTGAGCTGGTGTCATGATTTTTTTCGCTTCTTCGCTAACCTTCGTGTCTCCTTCCAAAAATTCGAATTTATTGTCTTCTAACCACTTCGTCACCTAAACATATTAACAAAATTTAAAAAAAGCCATTCAATGATACCATTACGAATTGATACACAACAATCATCATAATATTAATACTAGCTGTTCCCTACGACTTTATCCGCGTATAATAATGGCTTCTGGCAAAGTTTGGATTATTTAGGGCCGATTTTTCCAACGCCAATTAAATTTTATCAGAGGAACAACTATGAGTATATGACAATACTTCAATTCTATAAACTGTCAAATAATCCAATGTTTCCTTTTATAATGTGTAGATAGTGTAGATGTAGATATTATACTGACCTGTTTTTCATCCATCCATTGTTTAACTTGAAGGCCTGACTCTTGCCATTTGCTTTTAACAAAGGAAGGTCCCATACTTTCTATGAGCTCTCTAATAACGGCTTTCAAAAATAGAGGCCCATGATTAGCAGAAATGATTACATCACAAAGCCTAAATACCTGTACAAATGTGATATGCTGAAAATAAATAATGGTTAGAATATTACTAACATTTTTAATTTGAAACTTAATTCCATCAAATAGCAGTGTTACTACAATCTATAACTTACCTTCTTTTCGATTTGGGGAGCAATAATTTTTCCTAAATTCTCATACAACATAGGAATATCTATGAACAAATCAGGCGCAAATTCTAGTATTTCTTTGATACCCGCCACAAAATTATCAGCAGATATGGTATTTGAAGTCACCAAATGGAGCAACGCTTTAGATATAAGTGCAATCTCTTTTGCTGCCCTAAAACAAGAATAGTATTATTAATATATTTATTTAAGGTTATATACACTCTTCATCTGTTGTTAATAATATTAGATAATTAATGTTTACTTACTTTTCTACAGCGATTTGTAGAATTTCGTTAACCACAGCCGCGTGATATTTAGCTTCGTACAGCTGCTTAACATCAGCAACCAATTCAACTTCGTCTGAATTAATAATACAAAGATCTATCATAGATTTGATAGATTTTTTCTTAGCCTCAGGCAGAGGCTCTTGAGGAACTGGAGCGGGAGCGGGTGCTGGTGCTGGCGTATCGTTTACTACTGGCGGAGTGGTTGGTGCGGCACTCGTACTTCGAGTGCCAGAGTTAGAGCGTGCGACGCCCACCGACCCAGAACGGCTGCTACTTCCACTCGCTGCTATAAAGAATACATGTTTATTGAATTATTCATGCATAAAAGTAAGCTTAATGTATATAAATATAAAATATTAGTCATTGCACTTACTGAAGTCACCTCTGGAGTTAAATGTAGACCTTTCGATAGAGGCCCCTTTGGAGAAATTAGGAGTCATATCCCGATTACCTAAAGAATTACACAAATCAGTACATATTCGATTCTGTAGATTAAACTTTTAAAAGGATAACCGTAATGGTAACTTGCCATTAATCATAAGCCATAATATTGTATAACAAATTGTAACTTATAACACCAGTTAAAACTGCTAAAACCTATTTTAAGACCCTAGGCTTGATCCACAAAGACAATTATTTTAGGATTAGACTCGGCAAAAATAAATAGATTGCCAAATAGTTGTCATAATAATTAACGTCACATTAATTAAATTAGAAGTTGAGTATTTGACACAAATCTGAAACCCATTTCACTAGATAATTATGTTGATTAACTAGACATTAGATATCTCTAAACGAACTGGAGGAAAGGTTGACAATAGGTAACAATACAAAATGTGGAGACAGTGGGTTGCAATAGATGGAAAAACTGAAATCTGATATGATCGTCTTCATGATAGATCTGAGATACAATAGTATTGTAAGCTAAATTTGTACTCTTGAACTGTGAAATATAAGCCCAAAGGGCCGATAAATACACATAAAATACTTATTTTGTAAAAGTATTTTTTTTCCAAATTTTGTACTTATACTGTTGTATTTATTTATACATTTTTGGACAACATAAATATATACAGGGTTACAGGTTCAGTCGACTTTAATCCTTTAAGACGTGGCATGATTTCTGACCCAATTTGACTAAGGAACCCAAATTTTAAACTTTGTTTTCAAGATATCGGTCTTTGAATTTCTTTTATAAAAATTCCAGATTTTTTTGTTTTGCCACATTTTTGTGTTGTCTCAATTTTGCTAATTTTGTGTAGACGATTAGTTGCTTTATTATCAACCAGGGCTGTGCAAACAAAGACCTGCGGGCCGCATGCGGCCCTTGGCTTGTTTCCATGTGGCCCGCGACACACATTTTAATCTCAACATCTTCATCTTATGTGTAACAACAGTAATAAAATTCTGTGTATGATTAGTATGAAAGTTGTGTCTGTGAGTAAGGAATACAATGTTAAAAGTCATTATACAACTGAAAATATTTTTCTGGCCCTTCAACTTTTGTAAGAAATTTTATTAGCCCGCGAGGGAATGTAGTTTGGACAGCTCTGTTTTAAACCATAAAACTACAAGAAACTATACCAACATAGACATAGTAAGTGAAGGATTAATAAAACAGAAGATATTTTTTGTGTATGACGGATGTTTTGCAGATGTTTGATAAAATATCTACGATTTCCCAGCATTCCAATAATATATAGGTACCAAGCTAGGGTATTGTTAGGATTCTCGGAAAAATCTTTATACATAACTTCAAAGATGCATACATCTTTTTGTCACATCTCAAGGTCAAAACTGAGTGTCGTCGCAAAAATACAGCTTCGTTATAATATGTTACCATTAAGGGAACGATTCACCATACTTGGATAAGTAAAAGGATTTAGCTGGGTGGCTAGTTCCTTTAATTTAATAAAAAAGTTTAGTAGTACATACCTCTTAGTGATGTAGGATCAGTTTGTACATTCTCTAAAACACTGTACATATTTTTGCTTATACTGATCATTGGACTACTACTCGCCTGCGCAGTATTCTTTGTACCTGATCCATGATGCCAAGCTGAATTTTGCGGAGCTAATTTAATATTATGCAAATTCTAAAACAAAACAAAAAGTGATTACTTATTGCATGACGTCTAAGGGTTCATCCATAAATTACGTCACACGAATTTCATGATTTTTTATGCCTCCCCCCGTCCTTGTCACAGCTAGTCACATTTAGAGACCCCCCCCTCCCCCTAGTGTGACGTCACATTTTGCAGAATTACGTATGTATAAAAATTATTGAATGAAAACAGCGGTTCCGAAGTCGGTTTTATTTCTATTTAAATTACTTTAAAAAAAATATTAATACCAAATCAAACAAAATAAAAAACATTAAAACAATTAAATTCGTGTTTTATAATAGTTTTAGAAATGTGACATCACAAAGTATAGTATCCCTCCCTCCCTCTTGTCACACAATGTCACACTTCGTCGACCCCCTCCCTACTCCTTAACGTGTGACGTAATTTATGGACGGCCCCTAATAGTAAATCTTTCCAACTATGTTTAATTAAACATATGTAATTATATATAAACAGTATAATTGTAATTTCCAATATCATCAATAATGATGTAACTATAATACTAAATAATAATGTGGTGGGCAATTTGTATGGAACCTTAAATCAAAACCTGATTTCATCCATATTATTTTTGAATAAAATTTAATTTGAAAAATTTTTTTTCTTTCTGTATCTGGCTGTAAATTTTCAGGTCGTTATAACAGTTTCGTTTCGGTTCCTGAACGTTATACCATATATGTCAAGTTACGTCCATACTCCATACGTTAAGTCAAAGCATATAATTCAATTTATTACTCCTTAAATACGTATTTTTAGTACATCAAAATTGAATTATTCATCAATAAAACCATACAGCTGCTCAGTGCTCAAAAAACTAAATTCAACTTTCATTAATTGTTAATCTTACATATTATTCAAACATAATATTACGCAAATATGGTACTACTCACCTTTTGTGTCACAGCTTTCAGTTTACTAGTGTCAACAGTGTAAGTATTTCTAGATTTCCAATTGTTATCAATAAATGAATTGTTGGCGTTCTGTCTTCGGCTGTCGCCTCGCTTGCCACGGCCACCTTCGTCACGTCGGAATCCACCCATAGGGTTAGCATTCATAAGCTAAAAAAAGGCACATTTTTAACTTCAGTATGTGAATCATGCGAAGTAGCTGCACCCAGTATAATCAAACTTGTTAAAATAAAATTTAAATAGCAAGGGTACAATAACACTCTATTCTGTGACATGTTAAATACAAACTTGAGAATGATAATGGTTGATTCACTACAACAAAATCTAAATAATATAATTGATTAATTCAAAAAATGATTCACATTTACACAATTTTAAGTAGAAAAAAATATGGTACAGATCCAGTATGATTGTGTAATAATTAGTCATATTCTAGCAAGTGATCGAGCATAATAAACATAAATACTCTATTCATGTATTGATTTCGTTAGCAACATCGCTATAGCAAATCAAATCATATTTTACACGTATGCGGAGCTCTTACGGTAACGGCAGCATGCGTATCTAATTACATACGTGCAAGTAACTACTGCTCGTCATGGAAGTGCATGGTGTAAGCAAAACATGCAAAATAAAATATAATATACAATACTCTGTATTGTATGATAAATTCATGTGACAAACACACAATGATGGAATAATTAACATAATCTAATTGATCTATAATAAATCTATGTTGGTTGGGATGGCCTAAGGCTCCTAACATGGTGCGTGTTCGAAATCTTCCAAGTAGTAACGTGATACCATTGATATAATATATGGTGTAGGAAAACAATGGGAGGAAACAAAACATATAATATTTAATAATAATTTTGACTGCACAGTGTGCGAAGTTGCTGGGAAATAAGCTGCTGGACTACGGTTTGCCCGCATTAAACAACTTGTGTGATTGTCAAATAGTCGTTTCGGGTCTGGATGCCATTGTCTATGTGAAATTGCGAGTTTGAAATTGCGAACAGAAAAAATCTCAGTAAGAGGCAATGTTAAAAGAAATAAATAAAAAATATAAGTTTGACATCGGCAATCTGCCTTGAGCAAGTCTGGTAATTATTGCTTATTCCTTATCTATGTGACAAGTTTCTTGCCCAGCAGTGGAACAGCTGATGATGATAATGTTCATTAACATTTTTATAAACTTGTGTATAAATGCAAAATATTACTTTACTTACCTCAATGTGACGTTGCTGTTGTTCAGCTTCTTTTTGAATTTGATCCATCATTTTAGGTTGTGAATCAATAACTGTCTTGGCTACCCATTTACGGTCTCTCAGTTCAATAACATCTTGAAGCATAAACCTGATACAAAAAAACATTTAGTGAGAAATACGGCTAAAATGTCTTCTGTTCTGCACTCCTGTAATTTTCTATACTGACAATACATTTTATTTTAAAAAATGTTCGAAAAGCAATCATTCTAACAAAACGTACCTGACGCGACTGCTTATTTTGTTGGACTTGCGATCGACAATCTCCTTCATTTTCTTGAAAATGTTATCAAGTTGAGTGTTAGGTTCACTCTCCACTTGTTCACCGATAGTTGTAAGCAATTTACACAGGCACTCAAGCTTTTCTTCTTCAACTTTATCAATTAAATATTTCATACAATAGTCCATAATTTTTGATGTCAACATTTTCAATTTGTATAATTCACCTGCAACAAACAATGAAAAGGATGATAATTGAACACTTATTTAACTTTGTTTTGTTGTAGTTTGTTTAATTACACAAAATATAATTTCGCAGTCATAAAATTAAAGTAAACAAAGAGTAAAATGTTAAATTCGCTAATTTCATTAGGTATTTTTCACAATATGTATAGTTGTTTAATAAATTGTTACAGAGGTAAATATTTCTTATGCCATTCGCTAAATATTTTTCACACGCTACGCAACGCTACGCAACTCGACGCACGCGTTTGTTACTTAACAAATTATATTGTAGCTGGGCCAATCACGTAAGGACATCTTAAAAACTCTTATCAAAACGCGCAATGTATCGTCGGGTGGCGCTGCATTGCAATAGTGTTTCCAGTTTAAAATTAGCTGTGCTACTTTCTTTATAACTTCAAGTTAAAAGCTTGTTTAAATCTTGTATTTAAAAAATGCAGTAAAAACGTCGCTTTGTCAAACATTTTATTATATAACAACCAAATATAATTTACAATTGGTTATCTGGTATCTTCTTCTGTACGAGGCCTTTTTATTTCAAAATTCTCAATAGTGTGCTATAACATGTGAAAAATTTAAAGTATTTCTTGTTTTTTTATACCACCACGGTGGCCAAAACAGCACACAACCCGCCTGATGGTAAGCGGTTACCGTGGCCTATCTACCCTTGCAACACTTGCCGACCCTTAAAAACCCTTATCTTATTTTAATATTTAGGGGAACATTTGTTTATTTTTAAAGTATTAATGAGTTCATTATGTAAAGTTTCATTTTGTATTAAATTACCCGACACAAAAAAGCATCAATGAAAGGAGGAAATAATTCGCAGTCATAGAAATGACTTAAAATTTCTGGGAATCCTAAATTATAACAAAGAAATTACAATATATTTATAATTGACAATAAACAATCAAATTGATATTAGTATATTTTTTTCGCTATTGCAATCCCGCGAAGCTTGTACTTTACTGACTACAAAAAAAAAAAATGTTTATCTAAATCATCAAATTTAAAAGAAGAAAAAAGAAGTAGTACACTTACCAATAAATCTCACATTTCCTACAGACCTCATCCTTACACGTCTATTTTCCTCCACAATCATGAGCTGGAGTTCCTTTTTCTTGAGCTAAAATCAAACACATATTATAAGCATGCTTCAAGTAAAGAAAAAATATAACTGAACTTAAATGGTAAGGACTTACAGGATCATTAGTAGCAGCAAGTTCACTCTCCAGTTTTAATATCTGCTCATCAACTTTATGAGTCTCAAATTGATTTTGACATTTATTAATTATGAGAGCTCTGAAATTGACACACTTGTCAGGCATCGTCGGGTTATCTGCAGGTACCTATACAAAAATAAAACGTAAATTAAACAACCAACTTCATAACAGAATTCTTAATTAGTCATCACTGCTATATTTTTTTTAATGTAGTACCTTCAAAACAGACAACTTGTGACACATGGCAGCATATGCCTCAGAAAAGTTAGGCTCATCAATGGCCTTCTCAAAGACCAAATCAATCACACCTTCCAAACGCTTCTGATTGTTAATTTCCAATGTTTTGACTCTCTCCAAAAGAGTGTCAAACTTTTGCGGTGTTAATTTGTTCAATATTCCTCTGAACTTTTTGTACAGTTCCTGAAATAAGAATGAGTATTAATATATTAAAGAGAAATAATAGTGTTAAATTTAATACCTCGGAAAATAAGTGTAACTACACTCACAAATTTAAATCATCACAAATTATTGAAAACGTATACATAAATTAGATAAAATGTGTTTACCTGTGTTCTGTACTCCTCTTCATTTATAGAATCTTTACGGAATCTAGTAGGTTTCCACGCAGAGTCTACTTCATTAAGTTTCACTTCCTCTCGTAACGATAGTGAGACATGAATAACAGGTTTATGAGGGCTGTTGCTGTTTGGATTTGGAGGAAGTTTGACACTTCCTTTACCTGCATAAAATAAAACATTTTTATATTCCTAAGCCACATGCGTTCATAATTACATATGTTTAAATTAATCATGGTTATAATGTTACCAGCTGGAGCAGCATTTCTTGAGTCTTTCTTCGTTTCCCGAGGAGCGTTACTCCTGGAACCCATACCAGAATTCTTGGCAAATGGAGGAAACAGAGAATCATTCATAGGCCTCGACATAGGTGTGAAGGGCTGTGGCTCTTGCATTGGTGTTGTCTAAAAACAAACAAAATTGATAGATTTCAAGTCAACAAGAAATTAGCAAGTTATTTTATAATAAGTGTATGTGATCAATCAAATTACCCTGATGACATTACAATGTTCCAATAATGGAACATTGGGCTTATTCTTCGAAAGCGGATCATCTTTTATTTGCTTCAGCAAATCAATATCATAGCATTTTTTGCCAGCTGTGTTAAGTGGAGACCATTGATCTGAAAAAGATTTGATACAAATTACAAATGTATTTATTATCAAATGCGAAAGAGTTATCTAACTGTAATAAACTTGACAAACCTTCATTATATTTGTATTTAGGCACAAAAATTTGTGGTGCCGGTGGTTCATTCTTCACAGGTTCTTCTGGCACAGGCGTAGGGGCAGCCACTTCATCGTCAGGCTGGATATTATCTTTTTCTACATTAACTACTTTATCAGTCTCATTTTTACCATTTTCATATGACTCGACTTCTTTAACATTTGACTCATTATTCGCCATTTTATTATTAGACTTCTTATTGTTGTTCTTGTTATTTTTCAATCCCTTCTCATTTTTGTTTATATCTTCTCTAACAGTTTCAGCTTTAGTTGTCTCTGTTGTGTTTCCATTGGCAGTATCTGGATCTAACACAAAGAAAAACATACTAAGTAACAGGAAAACTTATGTAATATGCCATGATGATAAATAAGAAGATTCTTAAAATATACATTAAATTTGCATAAAAATACATAAATATAATATTGGGGGAAGCTCAGGATGATAATGGTAAAAAATAATATGCTAGATACTGTTGAATAAATAATAAAAATATAGGTTCCTTATTATAGTGATGAAATGAAGTCAAACCGATCAAGCTACTCTGGGAATACCATAACATGAAGAGCTAAACTACTGATGATGCTTAATTTCTTATTTCTGAGTATTATCTGATAAAAAATACACTTCTATTTATCTCACTTATCTCTTGAATACTGAACTATAGCAAGATAAAATATAAAAAAATCACATTGTCTACTACATATTATCTTTCACATTTGACAAAGAAATTTGAATATTGTAATAATTCTGCAATTTGCATTTTAAATATAGATTGATGAAATCAAATGCAACTACTTAAATCAGATGCTGATGACACATAGATATAAAGGAACAAACCTGTAGTCTTATTATTAAGGTTAATATCTTTCATTTTAAAATCAGATTGATTAGTGCGCAGAACACTAGATATACTCTGTGTTAATTTAGCTTGAGCTTCTATCGCACTTGATCCTTCTTTAAGTTCCGGTGCCTTTGAAAACTGTTCTTTAGCAACTTTTTCTATACTAGCAGACAACAATTGTGTGGCAGTAGGAGGACTTTCAACAATAGGATCACTCTTGACAAGTTCAACATTGGATGCTATGGTAGCAGTAGTTTCAGCCTCAAGGGCTGGAGAAATCTGCTTAATTGCTAGTTTCTTTGCAGCCTCCACACCTAATCCTTGATTATTTTGACTAGTTGGAAGGATGATAGCTTCTGCCAAGCTATCAATGGAACTAATCACTGTAAAAAATAAAACGAGAATGCATTAATATAAAAGTAATTCCACACTAGCTTAACAGGTTAGAAACCAAGATATTCTGTTCAATGAATGTTGCATGTAGCAGCATTTGACTATTTGTTAAATGCTCTTTTTAGGTTTGAAGGTAATTTTATAATCATTCGAAAATAATAATAATCTGTTGCTTGTGAACCAGTTTCGTAAATCAAGGCTATTTCCGAGAAGTTGAGCACCAGACAAGATGTTGTACAGTAAAATTACAGATAGAAGGATGTAACGAACACGGTACACATCACATAAAATATGGAGTGACAATCGAATTTGTCCGGTTGCTTGCTAATATGTCGGAATAGCGTAATTCTTAAGACTTTCGGCAGTACGGTAGATATAAATCATAATTAACAGCAACACACGTTGAATACAACACTTTAGAAGTTGATTTTTAATCTACCCTATCACTTTTTATGAACCAAGTTCGTGGTCTATAAATAGAGACGTGAGATATTTCCACGTGGGAGTTCTTGCATAGTACCTGAATATCAGACTTTATGTGGTACTGATACCTAAATTATATCACAGCATAATAATCCGATAAATTTACTAATTATTCTTCACACAATTAAAATAAGATACGATAATGTAACAATATGGTAAAAGAAAGTCTATCCAAAAGGTCACTCAAGGATCTAGAGTATTGTCCGACTTTTAAACACTTTGCACAACACTTTACTTATGGTTAAAACTTAAATAAATTATTACTAAAATTAAATATGTAAAATTATTAAATTGATTGATAAAAAGCTTTGAATAAAAATGACAAAAATATTTAAAACGCTGCCATGCTCAAAGTGACTGTAAGGTAAAAGCCGCCATCTTGGATCGTTCCATGCGGACAGGCGGTCCCGATGTTGCTAGTGTTGTGCGCAAGTACACGATTAATCGATTCAAAACTTAACGAAATTACTAAAAATATGTTTTAGACGATTAAACAGTAGACAATAAATATTAATGTAACGTTATTTTTTTTTTATCAATCAAGTAGCGATAAAATAGTCTTAATTTAAAAAAAATAAACTATTTCGCAAGGACGTTAAAAAAAACGGACATAATGTCACATAGAAACTCATAATAGGTAGGCAATAAATTACATCAAAAATTGCAATACCTATAGATTTTGACAGTCGACTTTTGTTTTTAGTCGATTGAGTTAGTCGTACCATCTTTGTTTAAGTATACTTGTCACACTGTCGCACAGTGTGCCCAGCATATTATACGTCGAAAGAAATTGAAAAATGTATGTGGGATGTAGACCCAACCATCATTGTCATTGACCAATTTGACCATCGATAAGACATCTGACTAGCATGATGATTATGTAGGTACATAGATGAATAAACTGACTAAGAGAAATTAATAACAATCAAAACTATTATTTTAAATCACCCTCATTTTGGTATACGTTACATGGGAGCGATAAGAAACCACGACTTATTAAATACTTATTACTCATGGGTAACGTGGGTAGCATGCGTTTTAGATCAGAGTTTGCTATTGTTATTGTGAAAAAAGATGTTTACTGACAGTAAAGGAAATATAAATTGATTGTCAAGATATTTTATATCAGTTTAGGTGTCGTTTTCATTTCAGCACGTATTAATTTTTTTTAGTACTTACATCATATTTTTCATAAAAGAAAAGAAAGGAACATAGTAGAACATAAAAGATAAAAAGGAAAATAGAAGGAACAAAAAAAAAAAAAAACATTCGGACCAAGGATTGAACTCGATTGGCGTCCTTTATCCCTACTAAGCTATTTTAAGTTTATATGTAATGGCGACATTTAGCTTTAGTTAAACGACATTTCCTATAAATTAAACCTAGCTAGATCGATTTATCGATGGAGCAGTTTCCGAGATCGTTGTCATATCTAAATATGCATAATTATATAACTCAAAGGTGACTGACTGACATAGTGATCTATCAACGCACACCAATTTTGATCAATTCCACCCCCAATAAATATATTTATACTGGCTTCTGCTCGCGACTTCGTACGCGCATTCCCGTTCTAAGGGGAAATTCGGGAATTTCTTGGACAACAAATATCTCTCAAAAACTCCCCACCAATTTGCAGCCAAATCGATTTAGCCGTTCTCGAATTATAAATAGTGTGACTAGCACGCCTTTATTTTATAAAGTTAGATAAATTAAATCTAAGTGTGTGACTGCCTAATCATATTCAACTACTGTGACCACATTTATTGGTCGATTATTTTATGGCCACAGCGTTGGCGTGACTTGAACCAGAAAAGTTTATTAGACCGTTTAGTTGGTGTTGTTTCAAAGATGGTTTACTCAAAACCCATAACAACTTTGAACAAACGAAAGAAATTTTAAAGTGGTTTGTGCATTAATGAAAGTGGCAAACGATCAAAACCACTCCGTTCCTACACCTGCTCTACGAGTCGGAGCCCCGGCAACCCGTTAAGTCTTCGGCGGCTCCGTATAGGGCATCGGCCCTACTGGGCCCCATCCGTGGTGGTCTGATAGGTATTTGAGGTAGATACTTTATCTTTTGAATATTAAATTTAATTTTTAATATACACAGCAGAATTGTTATATTCAAACCAGATTTACAACCACTTTACACAGACCGCTCTTATTTAGACAAAGGCTGCATACTCTTTTTTGTAAATAATTTTCTTAGAGTATTTTTTTAAAGAAAGTGCCATGGCCTGATGCTCTTTACACTATGGTGAGGTAAAGTGGAGAGAAGGTACAATTTTTTTAGAACTTGTTTGGGCTTGGGGATTTGTTTTTCTGAACCATTTTACATCCATGTATCCAAATACATATAAATATTTACATCTTAAAATTAACTACAACAAAACCATTGCATAAAAAGAGAGTAAGAAAAAAACAACAATAATTATACCCTTATTTAGACGTCAAAGTACTTGTCTGCATCACTGTCACCGGGGAAAGTTCCCAGTGTTTCGACCCCAAACGGCTCAAAACAGTAGTTACCCACTAGATTTGAATATTTACGCTGTTTGAGGGCGGTAGTTAGTTGTGATGGAACAAGGGTCGCGTCCCACACCAAAGGCCTACCCATCTTCCAAGGCAGCAACGACATACCATCTGGTCTCTTGCCGTCTTCACATACCAAACCATTAGGTTCTAAATATGGCTGGTACACCGGCTGAGGCAAGAGAACGACGAATGATGTCGTTAATGCTGGCATGGCGAGCTATGCGGCCTGCACTTGTTGAAAGTCAAATTCAATTGTTGATTGCTATTTGTGAAAAAGTACCTTTATTCTTAGATTTTTAGAGATTGTAGCAAATAGCAGAACTGCCCAGATTTTTATTATAAAAAATAAATCGGAAATATTTGAAAAATTGTGGTTACATACAATAGTTGAAAATGTCAAGGGAGTCGCCTTTAGTAAACTAAACAATGAGGATGGATCGTCCATACTAATATTAGAAAGCTGAGAGTTTGTTTGTTTCAACGCGCCTACCTCAGGAACTACTGGTTCAATTTGAAAAATTATTTGTGTGTTGGATAGTTCATTTGTCGGGAAAAGCTATTATTATAGGGAGGCTATATAAAACATCACGCTGCGACCAATAGGAGCCGAGCAGTGGGTAAAACCGCACGGACGTAGCTAGTCTAACTAGTAAATTCAGTATTTGCAAAATGTTAGGAATTAGTAATTTTATGAGTCGTGTATTGAGATAACAAAATAACGTGTGAAGTAAAACATACATGCTCATTTCTCTTAAATCAGCTAGAAAAATATCAAAACTAAGCATGTATAGCTACATAACATATTATTATCAACAACATTGAAAGTGTAATTTTTTTAAGTATCTGTGTGTACTTATTGAAAAGTTGAAGTAGGTAATTTATTTTTTGGACTGAAAACTGGGCCTAGTATTAGGACTCAACAATAATTATAAATAAACTTGATCATTATAATATTATTACATAAAATATACAATATTATATAATTAATACATAATTACATAATATAATATTTAAATACTTCAAAATATGACGTGAAGACCTTTCTTCTCGTTATATAGAAAATTTTCGTTCTGGCCACAAAATACCGCATAAAAGCACTGGCCTCGAACACAGTTATTATTAGCCGGCGATGAAAGTGCCGCAAGTACTAGGTCTTATTCACGAAGTGGCTAAATATTATATTTCCATCTAGTGGCCATGCATGTTAAAAGCAGTTTCACTTACCTAAAGGTGGTGTCGGGCCATTAAGCTTATTAGACGCAGATGCAGCCTCTTTTTCTTGCGACTCTCGCTCTTTGACTTTTTCTTTCTCTTCAGATTTGACTCTTTCCCTGGGTTCTCTTATTCTCTGCGGTTGTGGCGCGGGAGTAGAAATAGGAACGGGCGTTGCCGGTTCACTAGCTGTTGCAGTTTCTGTTGAAGCAGGCACAGGTGTGACAGTAGACGTAATCACTGTCGAGCTCGAAATTGGTGCTACTGTTGCTATTGGTACTTGTATAATATTTTCTTGTGGCTGTTCTAAATCATCAAGTTGAGGCACATTTTTGCTTGGTTTAAATGGTTTACTTGTTGGTAAATTCTTATTCGTATCTAGAACTACAGGTTGAACTAAGGGTTCACTATTCTTTTGTAGTTGCTTAATATTCATAGGCATTTTAGGCACTATAACAGGACTGTCTGATATTGCTGATACTATTGGAGTATCATTGGTTTCTCCGGCAACATCAGGTCCTAAATGTTTATTTTCGTTAACAGTTAATACTTCAGACTTCACAATGTTATTATTTAATGAATTAACTGCAATTGGCTGGCTTTGGACAGAACTTGGCGTCGATGCAGCAGGTACATCCACATTATTTGTTACATAATTCGATTTAATAGAGTTATCACAAGAAGGTTGATTGGCTACTTCCTTGACCATTCTATTAAATTCTTCGGGAATACTGTGTGTTGGCTCCTGCACAAAAAAAAACGTTGATTATAACCAAATGAAATAATATTGAATCATCAAAAATTATGTAGGAACTACTTGTTACTTAACACTTATGATATCAATTGACAAGTGAGACTGACGACGACAACGTGATTTACCTACCCGTTATATACTATTATAAGTAAAACAATTCATAGCAAACATGACATCTACGCGAAAATTCTCAAAGGAGTGGACAATACTAATGTAATTGGTTATAAGTTCCTATTGATCGAGTGCTGTCTGGTTATGACTGAGTTAGGCTGTGCTGGTGTACGTGTCAGAGTGTAGGGGCAGTTCCAAACTGAATCTACATTAACACCAATAGCACCGCGACTACTTGCGGACCTTAGTCCGTCCGTTCCCAAGAACAAATAATATATAATGTAAACTACCAGAGATTTATACTTACGGGCAGAGGGGTGTGGCGATCATTAGCTTCGTTGCTTATATAGTTACTGTCGTTAGTATATAAATCAGAGAATATATCTTGTTCTGAAAACAAAATGATAATTAGTAGATATACGTTGTTTGATCAAGTACTGTAACTCGTGAAACGGTCAATCCTACTTACTTGTTTTAGGGTCTATGATTGGGACCCTATGGCTTCTTTTTGGAGCGGATGAGCGAATACCTAAGAGAAAGTAACAGATTAAGTACTAGGCCAGTATATAATATTTTTGGGACTAACTACTACTTGTAACACAAGTAGTCAAGTTTTTTGAAATACATAGTAATGTCCTACTTTCTAAGCAAAAGAAGTATTGTATGAGGTTATTTGGAATCACCCATATTAGACAAGTCTAACTACTTTATCTATATATTAAGTTAAATACATACATACATTTTAAAATTAAACATAAATTATTGTTATAGTATAATAGTATAACTTGACTGGAAGATTTAAAAATTTACAAAAAGAATAGATATGGGCAATTGGGCATGTAACAAATATATGTTTCATGATTTTTTTTTGCAATAGCACATTTAACATTTTGACTCTAAATTTGCATGAAAGTGAATTTTAGTGAGTAAATCGAGTGTGATGCGAATTAATGTAGTACTAATAATATTATAATTACTTCATTATCTTTCATATAAAAATGTCAATTGGTTAACAATTCATATAATTAGTTTTCATATTCGTTTGATAAAACAGTCATTCACTTATAAAGATCATACGGGACGCCCATGCCCGGTGACAGGAATAATTACAATTACTGTATGAAAAAGCAGTTAGTAGTACATTCAGCGAAAGTAGCGACGTCGCCGGATTTTAAAGAACAAGGTGCTTTCATTAAACTCGGCAGGTTTCAATGTTCCCCCGATACAAATAGGCTTAGTTATATCCATGCAACAGTTTTACTTACCGAATAAGTACGACATGATAGTAAAACTTGCTTAGATTTTGTATTTTTTAATCTTTCTCACGTATTTAATGCAGAACAAACAACCGAGAGGAATAAAACCTTAGCAATGATAATTTAATCGAGCACATTTGTTGTTACTTCTAAACTATCAATGTTTGTGCTAAATGTGAAACTGTAGAAATGAAATAGGTTAACCTAAATTTAAATTTGAAACCATTACTTCAGCTGCAAAATTCCGAGTTTTTAATTGAAATTGTCTAAAATCGAAATATGTACTATTTTATAGAGTACGAGTAACCGTTATCGAGTATGTTTCGATTAATTGATCATCTTTCTTGAATATGAAGACGACATAATTAGTTAAAACTTAAATGTGTTTTTCTAGACTAGAGCAGAGAAAATTAAGAATTCTTGGGGCGATACACTTATATAAGACGGCACATATGATACAGCTAGACAGTAAACTTATCACGTTACGACAAAAGCGAGTGTTATAGTCATAAATTAACCTTAATCAGTTCGCCCTTAAGCCCATAGTCGTCGAAAAAACTGTTATTAATAATAGAAGTCAATGATTACCAGGCATAGTTTGGTGCATGAGTGTAGAAGCTTGTGGGTGAGGAAGCGTGGCAGTGGGCGCAGTGGGAGTTGCAGGTGTACCCTGTGGTCCCACCAAAGTAGTGGGATTACTTCTACCACCTGGAGTGCTGGCTTGTAAATTTGGCGTTGGCAGCTGCGGATTGTTCGACGTATAAAAATCTGTGGGTATAAAAAAAAACACATATTAATTTCTTAAAAATAAAAAAATGTAAGAAAATGTTTATAATTATGTCTTACAAAATAGTAGGAAAATGAAAAGGTATCAAGATATGAATGTACGTGTTTGTGGGAAGAGTAGGGTTTGCATGCAAACACCAACTAATTTACTATCTCAAGCTCCTGGTCTCATCGGAGTTTTAGTACAAAGCATCAAGGCAATTTTAAGAAACTTTATATTGACTAAAATAAATAAACAATGTTTAATATCTATGAGTATTAGTATTCTATACTCAATGATAAGACAGCAAGCCAAATCAAATTAGTTTATATGATTATTATTATAGTTGAGAACAAAACAAACTAATTAAAAGTACTTATTGTTCTATATTTATCTGTTACTTTGTTATTAGATTTTTCCGAGTTCATGAAAGTACATCACAAAACTGTAAAATCAGGGAGCTAATGTAATGGCATGCAAATAATACATTGAAGGTAGAAATGGCGGTACAGAGTGAAGTAGCTGGTATTTCAATATCAAAGTATGTTAAACAAGCAATGGCATGGTATTAATAAGGAAATCTTTTAATGAATTTCATGACTAGTTTACAGCCATTCTTTCGTGCCAAGTAGTTTTACCCTTACCCATAATATTGCAATCCCAAACACGCACTAAACAGTACACGTTGTGTGTACAAGATACTACATAAAATAAAAACATTTAAACTGATCTACATACATGGAGGAGTGTGACTCGGTGGTGTATTATAGTTAATATATCCCATATACGGGTAGTACCTGTGAACAAAAAAAATCCCATTAAGCATCATTGTAGGTCATGTTGTAGTGGCCCAGAGGTTAAGGTGCCGTAGTATCCTGGTTATTACATACTGCTTATTTACATAAGCTTTCTTTGAAAATATGAAAACCTGTACTCATAAATTAAAATAAATTTACAATAAGCAAGCATGGTGATGAAGGTGCACCTTTGATGTTCATTTCTTCTTCTTATTAGAGACTTTTGTCTCAGCACTCTCAGCAATGCGACAGTGTATGCATAGGCTGATGTACATTATGGGAAATAATCTGTCAAGCTTCAAACTTATCTTTTTTAACCTTACAAATTGCAAGTGTAATTGCTTACCACGCACACTAGAATCTTTTTGATAGAACAATTTTTAACTGTCATTATAGATTTCGAACTCTTTTATGACCAAGAATACAGGATTCGTACCGTTACCGTTATGGCGTTTTATACATATTATCGATCATTTTGAAAAATAAAGTTTGCCCCGCACTAGGATATTTTCCTGTGTTGCGTTTACAAACAAGATTTCGCATACACATCACACCCAGACTCGAAACACCAATCTGTAGATCACACAAAGAGTTGTTCCGTGCGGGAATCAAACACGTTATTGGCCATTTTAACGGATAAAATAAACCTTCCCGAATGACTTAACAGATCGCCTGGTTGGAAGCGACCTGCATCCATTGTATTTGTAATTTATGGTGATATGAAACATAAAACTTATGAACTCTTACCCCGGTGTACTCGATCTAGGCGGCTGGAAACTTTGCATCCCCATCGGCGTAGGTTGAAATACTAACGTTGGATACATAACAGGCGGTGATGCAGTGGCAGCAGCGTTAGGGATGTAGGGCTGTTGCTGTCTGTTCAAACAAATATCATTTTCTTTATTACAAAATATACTAAAACGTTGACACTAGTATTTCGCTGTACCATAATTTTGTACACCATATGAGTTACTACACTGCGAAAACTGGTCCATGTGAATATACTAATTCAAGCAAGGGTCTCCGTTATCAACTGTTATGCATATCGTGAAATATTTAATTATACTAACAACTATTAATTATACCAAATACGATCAAGACATTAGAAATAATAACAAACAAAAAGTCAAAACTAAAAAGCAAAAAATAACTATTATTAGTACTGATAGATTACCCACCCACTGATAGGTAAGAAGTCGGTGCCATAAGCTCATATCACAATGATATAACTATATAAAGAAACTAATTTAAGCCCACCGGGCCTAGACCTAGACCATTTATAACTGATTTTACCACGAGACACGCTTCCAATCTTTAATTATAAGAACAAAATGTTAATCCTAAAATTGTACTTTTGTTAAATTAAATAAATAAATAAAATAAAACATTACAGTTTTCTAAAGTAACAGCTACTCCCACGTTTCTCGTCCTAGTCCCTATACCTTACCCAATAAATGGATTATCCAAGACCAAAAGATTTTTCCAATTTGAACCAGTATCTGCGGAGATATTATCGCGTTCAACTAAACCAATATTAGCACAGATAAGAGTGTTATAGGTACCTCGTGGTTGTTTATTATATTGAGGTTCATACATTTTAAATTACAGTGCTGAGCTTTTTTTTTTTTTTTAAGGGGGGAAAATCATCGAATGACTGCTCCCGCCTGGGTGAGGCGGAAGGGAGTGTCAGACTCTTACTGACTAAAAACCACCCCGTTCCTTCTCCTGCACGTCGAGCCGGAGCCCCGGTTACCCGTTAGGTTCTCCGCGACTCCGAATCGGCATCGGCCCTATTGGGCCCCATCTGTGGTGGTCTGATGGCTCTTTGAGGCGCGCGCGGAACGCGACGCGCCGTACGCTCGGGTCTGTTTCTGGTCGGACGGGGAGCCACCCATGCTCGCCGTCCGCAGGCCCGCGCTTACGGTGGCCGGAGATCGTCCCGCGATCCCCGGCGCCCGGTGTGTCCTTCGCGATGGCTGGGTTGCGAGGAGGCAGCGCTTCGCTGCCTCACGCGTCCCGCCTCCTCCTTAGCCAGCATGACTGCTTCGCAAAAGGAGGAGACGGCATCCCAGTCCCCCTCGCTCCGCATCATGGCCTGAACTAGGCCTGGACGCGAGAGGTCTCCATCGCCGATCACTTCCCTGAGGGCACGGCGGTGCTCAGCCCACGCAGGGCATTCCGCAACAGTGTGTTCCACCGTGTCCTCAGGGTGGTCCTCGCAGTGATGACACCCGGGCGTTTCCTCCCGCCCCATCAGACACAGGTACCTCCCGAAACTTCCATGTCCGGTGAGGACCTGCGTCAGGCGGTAGGTGAGGACGCCGTAGCGTCTCTCAAGCCACTCCTCAAAGAGGGGACTTACCGCTGCAATGGCAGCGAGCCCAACAGTGCTGAGCTTAGAATGCTAAATTGAACGAAGCGAGTAAATAACCAGTGATTGATATCTATCCGTGTTAAGAAATAAAACATCACAAATAAACTCATTCACTTCTTGCTTCTAGCAGCGATTTTTAGTGGCTCAGGATTTATTAATTTGGTTTTGGCTATGTAAAGAATCTTAATATTTGATGGTGTTTATCATGGAATTCGTGCATTCTTGTGGTCTTTTCGATAGCACTATCGAAATATCCGCCTGCCCTCGGTTAATTTGCGGACAATTGTATTTGGTTTCTTGTTTTAAAAAATTACGCGGTTAAAAACCGCCTCGGTTCGGTCCTACTGACCAAGTGCCTTACTCATTCACGTAGTATTAAGTAGGTAAAGCTAGCTTTTTTGTTGGATGCCTCCATCAAAACGTTTTACCGTCTAAAAGGTACCTATAGTGAAATCAGTCAGCAAGGATAATAAATACAAGAATTATAAGAATTTTAATAATATTCAACTTTATCTATATCTCACGTCTGTCATGTAAAATTTCGAGTAACTTTTACTTATTCTGAATAAGTATACCGGTCATTACGATATTAAAAAAAATCAACGAATACACCAAAAATACATATTATTATAAATATGGTTCGCTTAATATGGAATAGCTTGTCTAAAATACAATAAAAAGTTAAGTACCTAGGATGGGTATTGGGCCTCGTGCCATGCTGCGCTGTTCTATACGGGTAGTTGGTAAACTGCGGTCGAGTTGGCTGTGTTTGGTTCTGAGTAACGTAACTATGGCCAGCCTGAAAAAATTGAAAGAAACATTAGAAAGTATACTTATGTGAATTACATATATGCATAAAATATTGAATCTGTATAACAGAACTACCTAAGTATTAGTAGATGCACACACTAGGTCAGGGGAAGTTAGATTGTTCTCCCAACGTAACGTGATCAAGAGACGCACGTTACGCGAATTGATTTCCGTAAAGTGTAGTGTAGTTACACATTTAAAATAAGTAGATAAATAAAGTGTAGCCAGTCAAAGCACTCCACTGTCAGAGGTATCGTCTGTTAGATGAATAACACTGCATCTTTCACTATTACTTTCATATTTGCAACTGGTTTTGATTATGATGTACAAAAATAATAAAATGCCGATCTATCCCGATCTAAGTATAAGGGACATATATTTACCATGGTTGTTTTGGACATGTCCTGTTGTGGTGCCGGCGGTGCCGATGGCTGCGGTGTCGGCTGGACTCTCAGCGAAGCCTGCGCCGAGGGCTGCGCGCCACCGGATGAGCTCGGCATATAACCAGCTCCAGCGGCGCCTGATGGGTGGTAACATTCCACCGGTCCTGTAAATATCATATTAAATTAAATATTCAATGATTGAAATTTAATTGTTGATTTATTTAACGATATTTTGGTTTTTCCTGCTTCTGTCTAACTCACTGTGTGGTGTTGACGCCCGTGGATAACTGTACAGCGCTAAGGAATTATTGTAATTACTTGATTTATTTCATAACTCCATTGCTGTTAGACATACTTACTATATGCGAAAGACTGAATCTTTTTTGGAAAGCGTAGTGAAGTGTAAAAAAAGTTATGATTGCCAACAAAACAATAGCTCAATAGCTCATAAATAAATCGATACTAGAGATTAACTAATAAAATTTCGTCTAGAAATGGAAAAAATTACTTGGCACTATTTCAGTTAAAGTACCCGATTACTTACACAGTGCACTTTTACAATAAGGACAAGCGTTGTTAGTATTCACTTACTAGTTTGAGTTAACAGTCGGTAATGATGCGAAGGCAGCATGCAATTAGAGTTGGAATACCGAGAAGACGATTGTTCATGTTTGTTAGAGTTTGAGTTAGTATGCTGCGGTACAAACTGCAGTGAAACATTATTCAAGGGTTGCAAATTGATTTGATTCGCATTGATGTGCTGTGCTACTGCCGATTGTGGCATATTCAATGATGTTTGTAAACTTTGCGCCACATCCATCGCACTCTGTTGTGACTGATTTCCATGGTTAACACACGCATGTGACAATGTATTTAGAGAACTATTTGTTCCTCTTAGTGCAACCATTTTAATTTCATGATATAAATCTTTTAGAAATTGAATAAGCCAAATGTTGAACCATTCCCAAAACAATGGAGACACAATCATCGGCATAAGGCAATTTATACTGAATTAAAGTACCATCTCGTAATACGCCGACACGAGGTGTCAGTTCGATGTATTAATGCATGTAAGACAACCGCGTTCTGTCGGTGTTGTTATGATAACTTATAAGTTACGCCAGCTTTCACCACAACAATATTAATCACTGCACCAATTTCGAGATATTTTTATTAGTTATATAGGCACAACGCATATTAAAATATTATTCAATGCAGTCCGCATTCACAATTTAAATAGTAATTTAATGCAGCATAGAGAAAATCGATAAGCAAACGGCGCGCTACATGCTACATCGCTTTACACTCGCACTCAAATATGCGTCAACGTGACACTTTCATGTTAACTTCTATGATTTTCACGGAATTTGTAAAATCGAAAATATGATTTAACTTATTTAAACGCCTTTACTAATATGTGTAGTATTCAATGTCGCAAAATCGTCTGATGCGATATGCCACCAATGAACGTTTTTATTAAGTGTATCACGAAACAGCGAAAGAAAGAGACAGTATCTACAAGCACTGCTAAAAATTTCGGGGCGTTCCCTAGCGCCCCTAGTTACCCCCGTAATGTGTACAGTGTCAAGTTGGCGACAAAATGGATCAAACGACGTTCATTGCAGCTCATATTAACAACGCGACGACGGCGCGCGTTTGTACAAGGTCTACAGCAGCAATGGACTAGAAACTAAAATATCATGTATAATTTTGCTTGTGTGTGAAAGAGACGGCATGGCAGGGGAGCGCTTATATTTTAGGGTGGCAGGGTTGCTACTCCAAAAATGTTCGGAACGGACTAGTGAGGTGCTTGCGAGAATCGCCAAACATCTAATCGAGTAATAATTGAAAACTCGAATGTTTGATCTCGAATATTAAAATTGAGTAGAAAGATGTAGTTTAACGTGTGATCTTATAACCTGAATGAACAGGTTTTTAGTTCAAGTATATAAGTAAAACAAAGCAATCAATCATTTATTGCTTTCCAGAAATAATTTTAAGCCAGTTTAGAATGCAAGTGTCCTACCCTAAATACTTACCGACTTACAAAGACATACCTTACCTCTGTTATTTGTAAGTAGTTTTAGGTGATTCGTTTTACTCTGTATGGTTAGAGTTAGATGTTCATCGCGTCGTTCGATGAAACAAGTGATGAGAGTGACGCTAATGGTAAACGATGAAAAACGCTATTTATGTATACCTAGGACGTACTTATAGAATCATGGAATAAAAACATGCACGAAACCTATATGAAACTTTGGTGAAAACTATCCTACCCTTTGCCCTTGTTGCCAACGATTGAAACTTTCCAATACTTTGGACCTAATCTACATAACCATCCGATTGTCATACATTTTTGTAATATACTTTCGCATTATTGAACGTTACAAGTCAGATGTGATTCAGTTACGAACTTTTTCATGTACTTACATATCATGAAACAAGCAGCACATAGAACAAGAAAACATAATTTTAAAAAACTCTCATTGATCCCATTTCTGTAATCATAATTATAGACTATTAAGTTTTCGATTTAGAAATTCATATGGGTACATGAGCCTGGGATTGTGAATGCTGTGAAGCAAATGGCTACCTAAGTTACCTACACTATTTAGAGGCCACTTGTATCTACCTAAAAGTAGGGTATGATTAATCAACCTACTCCACTAATAGTTTCCATGCGCATCCTTATAAAAACGGTTTATACTTTATACAAACTACGAGACATCACGCATTTTATTTCTAGACTTATATTTTGCTATCAGAAATATCTAACAATACTTATGCAACACAATTACTATGGGATCGATGCCTGATGTCAGATCATAATCACACCGGAATTTGTAGTAAATTTTGACGATATTCAGTGTGAAAATGGTGAGGGTTGTGTGGTTGATGTTTATGTAATTTATCGCAAGACTTTGGTGTCAATTGTCTTGTTGAATAAATACTGCTCAAATCGAAATCGAGAACTATATAGGTGTAATACTAATATTTGAATTTATCATGGGACACTTTGAAATGTATAATGTAACTATTACCATTAAAAAAATGAATACGTTGCTACATGACTTCACACTATTTATTCCCCGAAGCGGTAGGTGCTGATATGAAAAACAGAGCAATTTTTGCTTTTCTTCGACGCTTAGTGCGCTTACTGCGCGGCAGAGAAGTCGTGATTTCGTTTATTTTTTAGTCGTCGAACAGTCGGCAGTGACAGGTCACCGATCTTTAATATGAGGGCACGACGCGGTTTATTCTAAGCCCTCCAGATCCTCCCAATGGATGCTGTGATGGTACCGAGCGTCTACCTGCTGCCCTGCCTATGCGACACATGAACTTGCCCAAATACCCATGACCCGAGAGCACCTACACCACACGGAAGGAGAGAGAGACGCGCCTTTTTCCGAGCCAATCGTCGCACTGGCCGCATCGTCTCGACGGTGTAAGGCTAACTAAACCTCTCTCGCCAATCATACCTGACGAAGCTTCGACCGACGCGATGCTAAGTATAAGTTAGAGCTCTTCCTCTCGCCACCGATGTAGCGAAGCGACTACTTTTACTTCTAGGTTGCAGGGCGGGGAACCGGCCAGTACACAGGCCACCTTGCATGAGGTCGTGCAATAACTCCTGATGACTCTAGACGGCCACGGCCTTTTACAGTTTTCAGAAGCCGTCAGATCTGCCGCCCATATGGGGGCACCATACATGGCTATAGACTGTACAAGTGTTTTAGGTTCACCTGATATTATTTTAATTTTGTTTGCAACATTTAGGTGCATAGTTAAGTAATGTTTATTCCATTATACCCCAGTATAATGGAATAAACATTACTTAATGTAATAGTGCCCCATATTACAGTATTAACAGTATAACTCTCGAAAAAACATTCCAATGATCAAATCAGAGATCACAGATACACTCTTAGTAAGCCAGTTCGGACAACATTTCAAAATGATAATGGAAATAGTACTAGAATGAAACTCGTTGGAAAGGGAAGAGGGCGATCTGAGGTGATAAAAATCGTTTTAAGATTCTAAAACAGATTATCAGGATATTCAGAAAATCTATAGGTCAAAAATGCAATGGTTAAGTCGTGGATACTGGCCGCGGAGAACCTAACAGGAAAGAGAAGGAACCGGGTGGTTTTTAGTCAGTAAGAGTCTGACACTCCCTTCCGCCTCACCCAGGCGGGAGAAGTCATTCAATTGTTTTCCCCCGTTAAAAAAAGAACTTGGGGATACTAAAAAATAACTACAACTTTGGAGTTTACACTATGCAAAAAATCGAACGGAAACAATATTTTCATTTAAAAACAAAACATAGTGTGTATGGAAGATAAATGGGAAATGTAAGTCTTCGCCAAAATTCGTTAAACTACCTAATAATTATATTTTTTTGCGTGTTTTCCGACCTCTAAATAATTTTCCCTTTACAGTGGGGTTCATTCTACTACTGTTTTCTTGCATTTTTACTGTTTGTATGGCTATTAATTGTACTGGGCTATGAGAGAATTAGGCCCAAATACTGAAAAGATACTCAATTTTAAGTAGTACTTAAATATCGTACCATCTCTGTCATTTTACAAAGAATTGGTAGTGATATAATTATACTTAAGCGCAACCTAAAATTTAATGGTGTTTGTGTATTTTGACATTAGGGTCGAAAGGGATGAGCACTAAGACGCAAATGCTATTTAAAACAAATGAAACTTCGTATTTCACAAATCGCCAAGCTGGTTTTGCGGATATGAAAATTAACATTGTCTATATTACAATATCCGATTCTCGAGGGAAATGTGATTGTCATTAAATGCTTGAAATGTGTAAGGCATTTTTATCGAAGAAACAGATAAGTGGAAATTAACTGTTATTGAAATAATAATATGTAATTGTAAAACTTTTTTGACTTTTTTATACTTTATAGGTTGTCATTTGGCCACCATCTCGCCTGGTGGTAAGCGATGATATGGGTGACGATGGAGCTATGTATTTTGGAAAAAAAAAACTACCAGTCCGATTACGATAAAACTTACTATGATTATATTTTAATATCCTGGGCACCACACTACTTTTTATCCCGAAATAGTATATACATTAAAAACAAACTTAACTATGCGGTTCGATCCCTAGCCACAGTTACTGTACCAAACGCAAATATAAATTTGTCGAATGTTAGGATAATCCCTTTGGACTTTAGGGTGCGTAAGGCTGGGCTCGCTTGAGCGCAGCGGTAACGTACGGCTACGGCGCCCTCACCTACCGCCTGACGCAGATCCTAACCGGA